CCTTAAGCATATCAAGAAATAAGGAACTAATTCGTTTGGCCGCACAGTCTTTAGCGTTGATCAGTCGGGTGAAGAACAAAGCAGAGCATCAAAAAATTAAATATGGATATCATTGTGCGTTTGGAATTTGTTGTCTGATAAGGCGAATTTTGATTGTGTGTGTGTGCATGTTGGTTTTTCAGGATGAAGATCTGACCCCTGAGCAGATTGCTGTGCTGCAGAAGGCCTTCAACAGCTTCGATCATCAAAAGACTGGCAGCATACCCACCGAAATGGTTGCCGATATTCTGCGTCTTATGGGCCAGCCCTTTGACAAGAAAATACTCGAGGAGCTGATCGATGAGGTCGATGAGGACAGTAAGTGAAGAGCCAAAACTAAATACTTTGAACTCGTCTTATTATATATATATATTATAGTATAAAAAGAGTATATTCTATATATATATATATAATAATTTAAATAGAATTATGCATTTTATAGAGGGATTATCTTAAATATGTCAAAGTCGTTATAAGTGAAATGAGTTTTAGAGCTAAAAACATGAAAATTTGAATCATTGCTGAGCTCTTTCTACAGTTAGATCATATAATTGTGGTTTATGTAGGTCAAGATGAGCCATTATCTAGTATTATGTACGCTTTTAGACTTTTTTTGATATATATTTCTCTTGCTTTGCAGAATCGGGTCGCCTGGAATTCGAGGAATTCGTGCAGCTGGCAGCCAAATTCATTGTGGAGGAAGATGACGAAGCCATGCAGAAGGAGTTGCGTGAGGCATTCCGCTTGTATGATAAGCAAGGCAATGGCTATATTCCCACCTCCTGCTTGCGCGAGATTCTGCGCGAATTGGACGATCAGCTGACAAACGAGGAATTGGACATTATGATTGAGGAAATCGATTCTGATGGCTCCGGCACCGTGGACTTTGATGGTAAGATTTCCAACAATTAGCAGCTATGCGGCCACTGTCACAATATTAACAAAAGAAATACTCTTGGCCCAGTGCCAGATACAAATGACGGCCATGGCGACACCATTTGTCTACTTCTTCTGCATGCCCCTAGCGCCTCGCCCACTCTCTCCCTCTCTCTTCCCCTCTCGCCTGCTGCTCCATTCCAATTGTTCGCCTGCCCTTGTCTCCCGTCTATTTTCGTACTCAACGTGTTGTTGTCTGTATCCATAGCTGTAATTTTATATATCTGTGTATATATTTATGATTCTAATGTATCTTTTCGTTTCTTTTACAGAATTCATGGAAATGATGACGGGCGAGTAAGCTAAACAGCTTTGCGCCTTAACAACAAATCAACTTTTCTACATTTTTTCTAACTAAATGCACAAGATTCTCGAATAAAACACACACACACACACAACCATATAGATAAGTGTTTTAATTGTGATTGATTGACGCATTGAAGAAGAGATCTGCAGATCTTAGATCATGCAAGCTATAAAGTCACAGCTATTATGGCTGAAATACAAATTTCGTAATTAATTACTTTTAATATGAATATAATTTTTACTGTTGATTGACTGATTGATTGATTGAAGTGAGCCTCATAAAAAGAAACACTAAAGCTTTGATTATGAAACTTAAAAAGTTAGTAGTTAAAGTTAAAACATGGTTACTATGTAGACTTTTGCTGCTGATTGAGTGATTGATTGATTGAGGAAGGATATTGTATATATAATGGATATTGTACAAATCTCTAAAATTGCCAAAAAAGGTATAAAAGTATAAGTATGAAATTATAATATATGCTGATGATTAAGTGATTGATTGATAGAGTACTTGATTGAAGAGATTGATAGCTTTTCTTTCTACCGATATTAGTTATCTGTATATATAAAATTTTATTTGCAGCCGTGCAAAGCCGCTTAATATTACCTGCTAAAAGCTGAACTGTTTTATGTTTGAGCCAAGTATTACACAATAGGCGATGAGCTCTAACAATTGCTGTAAAACTAATCAATTCTCGAACAGGAACTATTTAAGCTAACGGAAAACCCAGACGCCAAAGCATATTGACTTAGACCGAGGTTAAGGTAGGGATAGTGGCAGAGGGGGTCAGATGCAGAGGAATAGATACTGATAGAGGCAGAGTTCGAGGTAGATTGGGGAGCAGAGGCAGTGATAGAGACGTAGGCAGAGCTACAGGCAGACCCAGAGCCAGAGGCAGCCGCTTGCCACTTGCCTCATTCATCACAATTGCATCAGAGTTAGCTCTGACTGTGACTCACGCGGGTTTAAGGTCCGCAAACAAATAATTATGAACTCTGATTGATCAGATATGCATTAACTCATTTGTGTGCTAATTCTGTGTTAATTTGGCAAGGCCAACGCAGCGTATGATTAATATCTGCACGCCCAGTCAGCGTATATCACGTATACGCATTGTCTCCAACTGCGTGCAAATTCCTTTGCCACTTGGCTGACCTTCTTCGTGGTTACAAATTGCAGCAACGGGCTGAAAGACATCTGTTGGTTAAAAGTGAATACCCTTCCCTGAGGTAGTCTGAACTAGTTGAGAGCTTTGAGCTGAGCCACAATTATTGCTCAAATATTGAATTTCTATGTGAATAACTCCTTTGTTTCTCAATCCAAACTGAACTGCTTTTTAATAACTGGTAAGTGTATTGCACATTCGTCTATTGTTTAATTTAACTTCTTTTGTTTTTTTTTTTGCTCTCGTGCATCTCACAGTTTGTTGGCTCAATAATTGAATTGCAGCCAGAACAAATAAATTGGCCAAATGCATTTTGGATGCAGCTTGTTGCATTTGTTTGCCATTGCTTGGGCGTGAATGGGCACAGAATGAAACAGCAAATGGGGTATGCTAGGCGAACGGATGCCCTGTTAGCTTTGGGAAGTTGAAATTGCTTACAAAAATATATTTTATTTTGATTGCTGTAGCCACTATACTCTATATGTTGTTCAACTCACAGGGTATATTATGTTATCATATGAATAAAATTGTGTGTGATATATGTATATACCTATAGTAAGAAAGTTGATTTTGATTATACTATTATCTGGTATAACCCATTTATCATGTAAATTACAGGGTATATTATATTGCAATATAACAAAAGTATATGTAATTAAAGAGTTTCCATAACAAACAACAGATTATGTGACCTATAGTTAATACCTAAATCTAATATAACCGATTTGTTGGCAGATTACAGGGCATAACAGATTGTTCTATGTTAAAATGTTATGTAGCCATGCATAGCATGATTTATAAACTATATTTTACACATATAATTTATATACCCCGTTCGTCATTGTGACTTGCAGGGTATATTGTGTTGCCGTATGACAAAAGTTACACAAAACGACAAGGAAAAAAATATATAGAAGATGTTGACAACATGCAGCAAATGCTCGTCTTCAATTGTTGTTTGGCTGCCAAGTTTGCCAGCCTTTCTAAATCACAAATAACAACAACAACAACAACAACAACAAATAACAATTCTTCAAATGTCAATGAGCATTCCCTAAGTTGGTTACGCTTCGTAATAGGTATACGTACATAGACAGATATATCATCATTATATATATATATACATACATAAATGAATGTTACTTGCATGTTAAATGCTCTGTATTTGTATGAAATGTCTGTAGAGGGTATATTGACCTAAAGAAAAAATGAAGTAAACGAACTGTTCTTTGAACTCTTCAATCAATCAATCAAGATGTTTATAAGAATTCGAGCTCAGGGCATCTGTTAGTTGTGTACTATGTTTGACACATTTTTTCGCAGCTTAGGGTATCTTCTAGTCAGGCACTCTCCTTTGAAAGCACTCGCACATCCCACTTGGCCATAGATGAAGCCAAATGACAAAAACTTTAAACAAAATTTCGCGAGCAACTGCCCTTTGAGCTGTGTGTTGCTGCTGTAACTAGTTGTTGTTGTAACTCGTTATTGCTGTTGTTGTTGGGGTCAATATAATTTGGCAATTTTGTCGGCTGGCCGCAGGCTAGATTTGGGTGTTGCTGTCGATATTAGCGATATTTATGACCAGAGAGTTTTACAAAAGGTCAAACGAAATAATTGCTTAATAATTTCGTTATTATCTAAAAAGAATTTCAACGCCTCAAAGGGTCAGCGTGTAGATTTATTGACATCCGTTTCATAATGAAGCTGTAGAGTTGCTCAAATGCAATCAAATATTGTTGTTGCTGCTGTTGAAAACGTGCAAACGATTTAAATGGGATGCATTTGGAATGGGATAGTTGAAAATGGGATGGGAGAGAGAAAGAGAGCGAGAGAGCTCGCGCGGCGAAGCGTTCAGCTTCGATTGGATTTCAATTTACGAGCGCAAAAACTTAACAACTGGTAGCTGGGCAACTGCCAATTGCAACTGACTAAATTAAAGATGCGCTAAAGAGCGAAGAGTGCGGTGAGCCGTGCGGTGTTTGGGAGAGAGCTGCAGCTAATGATATTCTTGTGGAGGATAGTGGTGAGTGGAGAGCAGGAGAGAGCGGCAGTTAATACTATTCTTGCGGATGATAGTGGTGAGTGCGGAGAGTGCGGAGAGCCTTAACTGTAAAGGCGTGGGGAGTAAGGGAGAGAGAGCGCAGATAATGCTATTTTTGTTGAGGATAGTGGAGAATGAGCAGAGTGGAGAGCAGACTCAGCTTGTAGCTGCTGCTGCTGCTGCTGCTGCTGTTGTTATTATTGTTTTTGCTGCTGCATTGAGCAAACGCCAACACAATGGCCACAGCCGGAGACTTTGCTGTCGTGTCTATCTCCCTTTTGGCATGCAATTGTTTTTGCCAGCTGTGCGGCACAGCCAAAACACATACACACATACATACGCTTGCAATAAATGCCATAAAGTATCAAAATCTCCGCTCAGGCACAGCCTCAGCATTAGCTTTTTTCGTTCATTCCATTCCATTCCATTCGATTGCATTTGGCGCCCCAAACGATCTCGCGTTGCATTTGTATAAAAGCCGAAGAACCTGCACTCCAATCGGCACACAAGTTCCGTGACAATAGACGAGGCCACAACAGCGAATCGCGACAGTTATAAATAGACTTTGAAGAATTCTCCCCATTTGGATGCGGCACATTTTGTGATTCACATTTGTGTGTGTGTATATGTGCGTGTACGCGCGTGTGTGTTCCAGTGTTGTGCTATTCCATAAGGATACGAGTCATAGAACATTTTGGTTATACTATTGTAACAGGCGAAAATGAAGTTGAAATTGGTGAGTTTGTGGGAAAGGATTAAGATTGTAGATAAAAAGTGAAATAAAATGTAAATAATATAATAATGAAATATGAAATGCGATATGATTCATATTAAATCTTCGTCATCTTGAACGAATCTTCTAGGAATTTTAATAAACCTGTATTAAAGATTTTTGATAAGAAATTTTAATCGAACAACTAGATGTCTAGTAATTATTAGCTTAATGTTTATTTATATCTTGAATGAAGGAGTAGATATAAGAACAGCGACAATAACTTACATTTACAGAGAGGTAGATGGGAAACTAATATACCCCTTCCTTATTTGCTTGAACAGAGTATTTGAGGGAGATTGACAGGTTACGCTAAACATGTTTGTTCTGTCCGTAAATTACATCATAAGCACAGCTGGCTAATCAACTTCGACTTCGACAAACATTCTTTAAGCAGTATGTAAGAGGCATTATTATAAATCAATTGAAATAATTAAAAAAAATTATTAATAAGATTTAAATATTCTATGACAGAAAAAACACAAATTGGTATTAGTTTAAAAAAATTACATATCTTAAAAAATATTTTGAATGATTTTTTCAGGCAAAGATCGTTACCAGAATAAGTTAAATTATGTAAGTTAAATCAAGGCTAGGTCAGATAAGCTAAGGTTAGTTCTAAAACTAGGTATCACTCAAATAGATTTAGGTATCACTAGAAATATGTAAGTTTATATATTTATCTCATAATCTATATGCAAAATGAAAAAGAAAAGAACAATAAGAAATGCTATTTATTGAAATGAATATTTATATAAATATAATATATATATTAATATAAAGAAATTTCCCCTACCACACTCTCCCATCATCAATATTTAGTTAAGATTCGTTTCCATCTATCTGAGCTCAGATTTTCAATGCAGCTCTCAGATGTATTTTTTGAATAATTATCTGCTGCAAAATTACTTCGAGCTGTATGTGAACTTTTTGCCTCCCTCATCAAATTCTCAGCGATTGCAACAGTCAAGAGTTTTCAATATGTTGCTCAATTGGGCGCAAATGCCGTTCTTTGCGGCACACGCAACGCGAAAGACAAAAGCCAAATGAAGTTGCCGCAACAACCTTAACTGCAACTGCAACTGCAACTGCATTGGCAACAAGCAGCTGCAACATGGCCCAAAGATCTAAGACAAAACGCATAAATTAAAAGCCCATTAAAAATCACAGAGCTTTGCTCGATTCATTGATGAAAAATCAGCACGCAAAGTTAGGCAAGAGGCAGAAGCAACAGCAGCAACAGTAGCAGCAGCAACTGCAGCAATAGCAGCTGTAACATCAGCAACAGCAATGTGGGCAACGGCAACAACATCAAAACTAGCAGTGAGAGCAACACCAAGAGCAGCAATAGGAGCAGCAACTGGACCAGCAATAGTAGTAGCACGAGCAATATCAACAACAGAAACAGCAACTGCAACCACGGCAGCAGCAACATCAGTAACTACAACAGTCGCAAGCTCAATAGGAGCAACATCAGCAACAGAAATATGAGCAACAGCAACAGCGATGGCAACCGAAGCAGCAACAGCAACCGCATCAATAACATTACCAGCAATAGCAAAAACAACAGTAACAGTGGCAGCAGCATCTGCAACATCATCAGCTACAGCAATACCGGCAACAGCAACATTAGTAACAACAGCAGCAACAGCAACAGCAGCAGCAACATTCACCGCAGCAGCAGCAGCAGCACCAAAATCATCTTCGTGTACGCCCACGCCCCCATTCACGCCCCCTTCTTTTTTTTTATAAAAAAAAGCAGATCAACTTAGTTAGGCTTTATGCATAGTTGACCCAATTAGCAAGCAATTTGCAATTTACTTCAATTATAAACGAGGCAAAAACCTAGACAAGGACGAGGATGGGCTGACGACGCAGAGTTAGTCACGAACTGGTCGAGGCAGACCAGGCGAGAGGCATGCAACATCAACTGTTTGTGTCCAGCTAAATGTCAAATATATCAGTTTACACAGTATTTCATATATATATTGATTTGATTGAGGTTGTCTATGGAGCTGTCTATAGAGTTCTTCTTCTTTTTCGCAGCCAATTAAAGTTAAACGCTTTAAACTTCAACTTGACACTTGACTAAGGCAGCAGCAGCAGCTCTGCCACTTGCCACTTGCCACTTGCCAGAGATGCTTGCTTAACCTTCTTCTATTGCTGCTTCTCAGTGGTTCACACGCTGCTGCAGCAACTGCAACTGCAACTGCAACTGTTGCAGCAAATATCAGAGTTCGTTTAGCCTTCTCCGCACATCATGTTTTCTTCTTCTTCTTTATATTTGGCTTTGATGCCTTTGTCGATAGTTTAAATAGTTGTCTTTAGCCTGAAGAGCAACGATAAACGCTTTAATAGCAGCTAAGGCGAAACGTGAGCGCATTGTAAAATTTTTGTCTTCATATTTTGTCTTTCATGAATTTTTTGTATTTCACATATTTTTGCTTGATATTTTAATGGATTTATTTAAAGTAGATTTTTTCTAGTTTCTTTTTTTTTTTCAAATGAACATTTCATTCATAAAGAGCACCGTCTAGCAGGTAGCTAGTTCTGTCTGTCATCTGCCATGTTTTGCGTGTCAGCCAACGATTTATGAATCGTGTGATTCATGCGGCTTACCACCAAAAGCATGGCGCACAGAGCGTGCCTCTCTATAGTCGAGTGTAGTTTTATTACATTTTGACATTAAACATTCGTTCGTTGGGCTGGGCGATAACTTAATATCATGAGGCTAAAGCTGGGTGTACTATTTTAAATTGAGTTGTAGAAGAGACATCGCTAGATCTATATATGGAAATAGATATTCGGTTTATTTGAGTTAAGTCTATCATGGGACTAGATTGTAAATTGGAGATAACAAAATTAACTCTGGTTATTTGACATGAACTTAACATGAGGATAACGAACATTGCAAATTTAAAATTCAAAATGGAAAACTCACGCTCCGCCCATGTCGCTAGATCTCATAAGTCTTTACTCTATTTGTAAGTTCTCAACTAGTAGTTACCCTGTATACAGCATCCAAGCTTAATAGGTATCCTCTAGTAATGAACTCTGATTGCTTCTAAAAAGTCAAGCATTTGACTTTTATGTAAATGTTTTACACATCTCCTCGTACTCACTCTGCTGGCTGGTTTGTGCTCCCTCCTTTTGGTTAAAACGTGCATCACGATGGCATATGGATTTTATGGCTGTCAGACGCTCCACTGAAAGCTTGCCATGTGCTATGCACCGCTGAACTGTTCGCCGCACCACTGAGCCGCATAAATTAGTAATGTCAGTTGGCTGACTGTGTTTAATCTTCCATCTCTCATCTCTCTTGCAGGCGCTGCTGACGACGTTGCTGGCGCTGACGCAGGCGGCGCGACTTGATAACAAATATTTGCCACCGCCAGCGAATGCAGCCAGTGCGGGTGGTGGTGCTGGCACGGGTCTGCAGGGACCCGGCGGTGGCGGCGGCGGCGGTGGTGGCTTTGGTGGCAGCAACAATGGATTGGGCGGCATTAATAATGGACTCGGTGGTTTCTCGGGCGGTGGTGGACCCAGCAGACCAATTGGTGGTGCTCCGGCTCCACGTCCACCTGCACCCGCACCACCTGCTGGCGGTCCACCGATACCCATTCTATCGTTTGTGAATGAAAACGATGGCGACGGCAACTATCGCTTCAGCTATGAGACGGGCAACGGCATCAAGGCCCAGGAGGAGGGCACCGTAAAGAACAAGGGCTCCCCGAATGAGATTCCCTCGGTAATGGGCTCTTACACCTATACGAATCCTGAAGGTGAGCTCGTGGAGATCTCCTACACGGCAGACGAGAATGGTTTTGTGCCATCGGGCGCGGCTCTGCCCACTCCACCGCCCATACCAGAGGCCATAGCCAAGGCCTTGGCTGCTCAAGGCATTTCTCCACTTCCTGGTGGTGGCTACAGCGGCGGTGCAGGTTAGTCAATTGGCTATCATCATAGAGTTGGGTATCCATTAACTCAACTTTTTAAATTTAACAGGTGGTGCTGGCGATGGAGCTGGAGCAGGAGCTGGCGCTGGTGGCTATGGAGGTGGAGGCGGACGTGGTGGAGGTGGCGGTGCTGGTGGTGCCGGATCATATGGTGGAGCCGGTGGTGGTGCTGGCGCTGGAGGATATGGCGGCGGTGCTGGTGCCGGTGGAGGTGCTGGTGCCGGTGGAGGCGCCGGTAGAGGAGGTGGTGCTGGAGCTGGCGGATTCGGCGGTGGTGCTGGCGGTGCTGGAGCTGGCGGATACGGCGGTGGTGCTGGTGGTGGTGGTGGCGCCGGTCGCGGAGGTGCTGGAGGTGGTGCTGGAGCTGGCGGATACGGTGGTGGTGCTGGTGGTGGTGGCGGTGCCGGTCGCGGAGGTGCTGGAGGCGGTGCTGGAGCTGGCGGATACGGCGGTGGTGCTGGAGGCGCTGGAGCTGGCGGATTCGGCGGTGGTGCTGGCGGTGCTGGAGCTGGCGGATATGGCGGTGGTGCTGGTGGTGGTGGAGGCGCCGGTCGCGGAGGTGGTGCTGGAGCTGGCGGATACGGTGCTGGTGGTGGTGGAGGTGCCGGTCGCGGAGGTGCTGGAGGCGGTGCTGGGGCTGGCGGATACGGCGGTGGTGCTGGCGGCGCTGGAGCTGGTGGTGGTGGAGCTGGTGGATTTGGTGGTGGTGCTGGTGCTGGCGGATTCGGCGGTGGAGCTGGTGGTGGCGGAGCTGCTGGACGTGGTGGTGCCGGAGGCGGTGGTGGAGCTGGCGGATTTGGAGGTGGTGCTGGTGGAGCTGGTGGCGCTGGAGGCGGTGCAGGACGAGGAGGTTCAGGTGGTGGAGCTGGTGCTGGCGGATTCGGTGGGGGTGCCGGGCGTGGTGGTGCTGGAGGTGGCGCTGGAGGTGGTGCTGGAGGCGGAGGCTACGGTGGAGGCGCAAGTGGTGCAGGCGGTGCTGGCGCAGGAGGATTCGGTGGAGGTGCCGGCCGAGGAGGTGCTGGTGGAGCAGGTGGCGCTGGAGGCTTCGGTGGTGGCGCAGGCGGTGCTGGTGCTGGTGGATTCGGCGGTGGCGCCGGTCGTGGGGGAGCTGGAGGTGGCGGTGCTGGAGGAGCTGGTGCTGGAGGCTACGGTGGAGGAGCAGGTGGTGCAGGTGGAGCTGGTGGCTTCGGTGGTGGTGCTGGCGGTGCTGGAGGTGCTGGAGGTGCTGGTCGTGGTGGAGCAGGTGGCGCTCCCGGATATGGAGGTGGTGCTGGTGGTGCTGGCGGTGCTGGTGGAGCTGGAGGCGGCCCTGGTCGTGGTGGTGCGCCAGGAGGAGCTGGCGCTCCCGGATTCGGTGGTGGAGCAGGAGGTGGCGGAGGATTTGGTGGTGGTGCCGGTCGTGGTGGCGCGCCAGGTGGAGGTGGCGCGGGACGAGGTGGTGCTGGCGGACCTGGTGGCCCTGGTGCGCAATACATTCCTCCTGCTCCCGGTGGTCCTGGTGGTCGTGGCAATGGTGAATTCGATCCACAGACCGGCTACATCTATTAGAGCGCTAAAGATGAAGACGGATGAAACCTCAATGCAACGCATTCTGCCGCTAATTACTCTTAGTACTTAGCTCATAAGAAAGAGTTTCGATCTATAAATAATTCAAAAAGAATACAGTGTTTCCAAATTAAGACTTAGTTATAAGCGATATAGCTAAGCTATATTTATATTAAAATATATTACTTAGATGTATTTTGAATAATACCAATTGTGTTTAGTTAAAGAAATTTGCAAGTATTAAACGCTTTCAAGAGCAAAATAAGATCTTAAAAAAGTTTTTATAGTCCATGGCATACTTTTAGACTTGAATGAATTGCCTCGATGAGGGCAGAGAGAGAGAGAGAGAGAGCTGTATCATTCGAAATTATGATTGTTCTTATACTTGATTAAATGCATTACTGTCGAACATGAATAACTTGAAATACAATTTGTATTGCATACTTCAAGGAGTGGCGGCTCTGTTAGTTAACATTGTATTAACATTACTAACTTAACATAACCTAACTAAGCTTACGCTGGCTGCGCATAGCTAAGCGATTAAACGATGTATTTTGTTAACATAATGCTGTTATCTAAAGCAAATAATTTTGTATGAGGACAGATAAACATAATCTCGGATAATCTCAGATAAACATAAATATTCCAAAAAGAATTCAAATTTGAATACAAATCTTGAATGAAATACAAAAGGTGTGGGTTTTTATAGGCGCATGTATATATCACGCATTTGAATGCGACTAAATCGACTAATTCGCAAATAGATTTATATGTATATATATATATATATGTATGGATATTGTTGAAGTATTACGCGATCGATTGCTTATTGCTTGGATGACTTCTTGAAGCGTCTGTTGAACTGGTTATAGCCAAAGGGGTCGACCAGCTGGTTGGGTCTGCCTCTCAGCTGCTGCGTAATCAGCGCCTGTTGCTGCTGCTCATTTCTTTGATCTTTTTGCTGTTGTTGCTGCTGTTGTTGTTGCTGCTGCTGTTGATTGAGATTTTGCTGCTGCTGCTGCTGTGGTATTAAATTGCCGCCCAGCTGCTGACCAAATTGACTCGCGTACTGAGCTGGCAGATTGCCGGACTGCAGATTATTGAATGGCTGCTCCGGTTGAAATTGTCCGGAATTTGGAAAGTTTCGCTGCTGCTGCTGTTGCTGCTGGAGTTGCTGCTGTTGCAGCTGCTGCTGTTGCGGCGTCAATTGTTGACCCGGTCGAAATCCTTGTGCCCCTGTTGGCAATTGCCTGTAGGGCGTTTGATACGGATTCAGATTCGGGTTCAGCACGCCCTGCTGATACGGCTGTGCGCCCACAAAGTAAGAGGGCGTGGCTGGAATGCCAGTGCCCTCTGCACGAAAGCCATTCTCATCGGCAATATAGCGCACTGTAATGGGCGTGCCCTCCGGTGAGGTGTACGAATAGGAGCCCTGAATGACCTGGTATGAAATATAATTTAATTGGCTTGAACACTGAAAGTTTCTTCCTTTGAATCAATATTTGTAATCACTTCTCACCTGCGCTTCCACACCTTCGCCATAGCCCAGGTTCTTGACATAGCCCTGCGCCTGAGCCGTGGTGCCATCGGCAGCTGCATAGCCATAGGAGAAGCTGCCGTCCAGATTCAGATCGTTCTGATAGGCGGTGATCGGAACATAGTTCTGCTGTGGATACTGATTGTAGCGAGTGTAGGGATTAGGTGTCAGAGGATTGAGCGGATTCAAAGGATTCAGCGGATTGCTCTGTGCTGGAAATAGGCCCTGTCCAGGTGGCTGTTGACGTTGGCGTTGAAAGGGCGGCGGTGGCTGTGGCTGCTGCTGCTGCTGTTGCTGTTGCTGTTGTAGCTGGCGCTGCTGAAAGGTCGTCTGCTGAAACGGCGCATTGGGCAGCTGGGCGTGGCCAGCGGCAATTAGCACACAAAACACTAAACACTGCGAAATTTGAAGAATCAAGAACACATTGAACATAAATTTCTACTGCAAGAGAGAGTGAGTGAGAGAGAGAGGAAGCTTTACCCGCATTTAAGCTGTCGACGTAGTCATAAATCTCAGCGGGAAAAACGCTTAACAAATTACACGCTCGATAAATTTGACGTAACTCTCACGCGCTGAGTGGGGAGTGAGGGATAGAAACGCGTATCGGAGTATCAGAGTATCAGAGAGTCTGATTTTTGGAGAATCGATGCTGTTGCTGCTGCTGCCACTTGAACTAGACTGCAAATGCTGCAACTCAGGCCAGATCTATTTATACTTCGCTTAACTTGGCAGCCAGCCAAGCTCAACCAAGGCAGGCCCTAAAGCGCAGCTCGATCATAAGAATCGGCGGCCGCCCAACGGCAACGTCTTCCTGTCCACTCGATGGCTAGCTGGCCGGCATATGGGCAGCTGCCATATCTGATCAAGTGCTGGTTTGATCTTGATTTTGATCTTGTTATACCCCGCATACATAGCGAATGGCCAAGCGATGGATCAACTGGGTGTGGACGTTGTAAGTTCTCCCATAATGAATATCAATGAATAACAATCAACATGCTCATGAAATCGATAACTATCGATTACTATAGTTTGTGATCGATTTTCTCAGACATCAAAGTATACATCAAGTTAACCAATTTACAATTATCGATAGAAAATATTATGATTCACAATTATCTCATAGCTAGAGCTAACAACGGCTTACAGGGTATCTGAGAGTCGAGTATTGTCACATTATATTGCTGGTAGGTTGTAATTTATCTACATGCGAATCGTGTTAACAGCAGCTACTGACGGCTTGCTGGTTGGCAGCTTTATTGGTTTTTTATTGGCCATTGACAGAAGGACAAACGAATTTCCAGCTGCTATGTGCAGCTATATTTATGATGTTGCATCTAGAAGATGCATGCCCCGCCAGCTACATAGATTGCCGTATGCTAATTTCTATTCACTTTTTTTGTACATCGATTCTTTTGTTCTTAAGGTGTTTATGTGAGTTATGTGCTGGTACTGTGCTCGTTTTTACTGCTCCCGATCTCGTCTGCAGCTAGGCTTTTGGGTTTGTGGGGCGTATACGCAACTTTTACCCAATGGTCAAGGTTGAAGTTTAATTAATTATAGTTATGAGCTTAGCAGATGATATGTTCATGGATTATTTCTATGGTCAGCAATTAGATTCTCTTGTTCTGAATATCATGTTCACCTGGACTTTTAAGCTTGGTGGGCTCACATGTCGTATACGCAACATATACCTAATGCTCAAGTTTGAAGATGAAACAGCTCTAAGCCCGACTGATTCGTATATACACTTAGTTGCTCATATATGATTTTGTTGCTCTCGAACTCATCTTCAGCTAGCTTTCTGTGTTTCCGGGGCCATCATTGCGCATACGCAACGTTGACAAAATTTATCTACCCAAAAGAAAATTACATTCTCCATGATTCCATCTTCCTTTCCTCTGCTCTAAATCTAAGCTAAGCATTTGCACATCTGTCGTATACGCAATTTGTGCCCAACGGTCAAGGTATAATTGAAGATTCTATGTTAATTAAGTTAGTTATCTAGCCAGAAGTTCGTCTCGTAGATAAACCTGTGAATTCAGTAAGCTTCACTACTTGAAGCCCATCCATTGTCTCTTCACTTACATTCATCATTCATCATTCATCATTTACCATTTATCATTGCTCATTCGTCATGCTGTTCATGTTAAGGTGTTGCCCTGATCCATTCAGTTATGATCTGTTCAGAAAAGTCATTTGTAATTTATGCGCTCGACAATAATGCAATTTTTACGTTTTTAATGCGTTCTCGCCTGCTATTATTATAATTTTTTTTAAGTAATTTCTTTGAACATGTTCTGCTCGCTAACTAATTGAATATGTAAATTTTTATGAGGTTTCTTCGGTCGATACGCTTTTGGCAAGGTCAAAGCTACTGTTGCGAATGGCTGTAATCTGGAAAATTGCATGAGATTTTTAAGCGATGTCTCAAGAGCGTGTCACCGGGTATTACACATAGTCGAACTATATTATACTTTATTTGTTTTTTTTTTGTATAGAAAAGTTGTTTTTGTTTTTTGATATATATATATTAATGCCCGCAGATATGTTTCATACTTTATAGCTTTTTTGAGAGGCACCTAAAAGTATGTTGCATGTAAAATATCATTTTTATTAGGTTGTGGACATATTCGAGTACCCTGCATTTATATCATGAAAGTTTTACTATTAATTAAACATTTTGAATAATATTTATATAAAAGTATAATATGTACAAATTACTCTTAACTGTCTCTGTACATTAAAATATAAAATTTTATCTTTATTACCATGAGCTTTAGTAACTTTTTCAAATCTTACCTAATTAAAATTCCTCATCAGTTTCCAACACTGAAATATAGGTAGATTATCACTATACGGTTTATTTCGACTTTTCCAAGACTAAGTTATGTAGGATTTGACTGATTTAATAAGATCACTGATACATTCATTATCTGAATATATTTATAATAATATCAAATATGTCATCTCTTTAGTACGTTTTCCAACACTCAATAATACAGATTACATTATCAATATATTTAATTTAAATCTGATTTCACTCATACCAAAATTATAAATATAAATAAAATATTTAAGTTATTTATTGTTATGAAAATAAATAAAATATCTTCATTTAAACATATTTGTTGCTGAATTTTGTGAACAACACTAGTTTTGCAAATTAATTTTGCAAATAGTTTGTATGCTAATTTTAACAACCATTCAGTTGAACAAACAAGCTTAAAAAGATGAAGAAGAGATATAAAAGAAAATATAAAAAAATAGTTAAATAAATGTGGCTGGGTTGGGAAACATCTTACATTCGTGTCGCGGTTAGCCTCCTTTTCGTTTCGGTATTATTATTGAACGATCTGGCGATCATAAAGCCGAGAGCGAGGCACTTGGCATTTGGCAGCTGTAGTAGCATTCGACCAGGTTAATTACTGCTAATTGATTCAATCTGCAATACGATACGATCTATGGATCTCTATTTGACTCGCTCTTTCTCTCTCTCTCTCGCAATGCGTAGATTCCTGCTGCTGTTCCGGTTCTTCATTTTGCATTTGCAATTGCTGTGTAAAGGTTAATGTGTCGCATCTAAGTTATGCACTCGTTGGCATTGCAACCACTCAAAACTCATTAAAGTGTTTCCATTTCTGCAGCCAGACTAGTTTCGAATCGCCTTAGAATCAATTTATTAATACATCTTGAAGCCGGAGCTCGAAAGAGACCGAGACATAGACATAGCTAGAGCCAGAGCTAGAGCCAGAGCCAGAGCCTGTCTCTTCATACTGGGCGTGTTGTGTTTAACGCCCAGAAGACGCCAAGGCAAATGCCAACACCGAATCAGAGCGAGATAGTTGCCAAACATGCTACGGCCACATACCCTGTAATGTGATTAAAGTAGAAGATTGGCTTAGAGTTAGAACATCTAGAAGACATCAAGGAAGATATTTTACTATAACTAAAAATGTAATATAAACATATATAAAAATTAAATAATTATAAAATTAAAATTAACAATTTTTTAACAAATAAATTATATACACAATTATTCAAAAATAAAAAATTAATAAAATATATTTTATGAAATAATACAAAGTTTTACAAAATAAAATATTTAGATAAATAGATATAATATTTTTGCATTTATTTTCTAAATATCTAAATATTTTCTTCTATATAAATTAAAAGTATACAAAATATGGTTTATTTTAAGTTTTATAATAATATTAAAAATATATTTTGTAAATTTTCTAAATACATTAAATAATTTTTTAAATATTTTTTGGAATATAAATATTATTTTTGCTAAAGGAATTCCTCAAGAAAAGGTATATACACTGAGTTTAAAAAAAAAAAATGCATATAATTTATATTTATATATAAATATAATTTGGAATGGAAAATTAAAATCTTAGATTGCCTGCAACTCGGAACAAGAATATAAATTTTTCATAGTCAGAAATGTGCTTCAATCTATAAATTGCTGAATAAATATAAATTAATAAATATAAATATAATTATATGACATAATTGTGATTGTTAATTCCGCTAGTAAATGGACAAGTCTACACCTTAGCCTGCGCTACTCTAAGCCCCGTTTTACAGGGCATTTAGTAAGTCTTTTGCGGCCAGAAAACAGTTGCCAATGTCTGGTTGCGAAACTTGCCAAAAATTATTATAAATTGTTGTTGTTTTTTTTTTTTTTTTTTGGATTTTTGGCATAAATGTTAGTCGCTTCTCAGTGCCCACCCACTGTAACAGCAGAGCTCGAAAGATACAAAATTCAAAAATTCAGAAATTTCAACTTCAAACTGTGGCAAGGAATTTGCATGGTAGTCAAGTGGAAAAGAGCTTAGCTATTTTCTTAGCCAGTCAGCCGTTACATATGCAGCACCATTCGCTTTTTTTTTGCTGTACGTTGGTCGGGCATGAGGGCGTGGCGCACGCCCACTTAGCGACATGTTTGTACAAGCAATTTGACAAATTTTATTAGCTGCTGCACCTTACAAGCTAGAAGTTGTTAGATATTTAGATATGCGCCCACAGACAGACAGCAACAACGAGCTGATGTGTCACATTTAACACGCAGACAATGGCCAAATTAAGGCAGGTTACATAAGTTTGGCCAAAGAGTTTTGTTTTGTTTCGGCTACTTTAAATTGCAAATGCAGTTCAACGACTTTATCAGCGCCTGCGACTCGTCTCGCAACTTTCTATTGACCCAGCATAATCAGAGAAATGGTATAAAAGCGCTTAGAACTGTTTGCGATTAGCATAAATTCACAAGAACTGCCATAAAACATGTTTCGATTGGTAAGCAGAAGCTGAAGCAGCACAGCCAAAAATTATTTTCAAGCAGCCTTTGAACAACTTCTCACTCTCTTTGCAGTGCTTGCTCTTGACTCTCTGCTGCACAGGCAGCTGGAGCATTGAAGTTGAACCTCAGCTGGAGCTGGTGCCGATTATCAAGTCGTTAGTTGAGCAAAAAAATGATGGCTCCTATTTCTTTGCATATGAAGGCGCCGATGGCAGCTATCGCGAGGAGGTTGGCATCGTGAGACGCTCCAGTAAACACATGAGAGCTGCAGTTGATGAAGATGCTGCTGCTACAGATGATGATGTTGATGATGATGATGCTGAAGCGGAGCTAGAAGTATCTGGCGTTTATCGTTACATTGACAGTGATGGGGAGCGTGTGGAGGTCAACTATGTGGCTGACAAAAATGGATTTGTGCCCGTGGGCACAAATATACCCAAGGAAATAACGGAGGTGGCCAGGAATGCGGTAAAGTCACTCGAGGTGAGAGTTAAGTAGAACTCGAAAGCAATTGAGCTGTTATAATAGTGATATACAAATGAAATGTGTGCAAGGTATTACAAGAAAATTTACCAAATTTACTATTTTTTATGTTTATGAATAAAGTATTTTATTAATAAAAGCAGAAAGTGATTTGTAGATACAGAAATATCAGCAATACTGAATGGTGTCCTTTGGGACATTCTGGGAAATGTTATACACTATAATACGCTGCCTAGCGGGCCTGATTAGTTCAATTTTGTAAATATTATTCAATCAATATGCCAACAAAACAACTTTGGTTGTACTAATGAAATGTTATTCATTTTTTTATTATTTTATTTTATTAAAATAAGATACAAACAAGATCAAAATAAAATAAATTTCACAGCTACATATCAAGTATCTATAAGAAAACGAAGAGTTTCAATTGCAAAAATTCTGGCAGCTGCATCAGTTGAGCTGTTATACGCTGGTTATAGCCAGCTAGCTAGCTGCCTTGATTGTCGCACTTTTGTAAATGTTATTCAAACAATTATTGAGAATAAACGATTCATAAACCAAACGTAGCCTGGCTAGTCAATAAATTCAAATCAAAAATCCCCAACTCAGTCACTTGGCCAGCTCAGCAGACAACTATGCCAAAATGGGGAGCGCCGAAGCGAGAGCTAATGGCCCAATGGACAGCGTGAGCACTTACAACACCAGCTGCTGCTGCTGCTGCTGAGCTGCTGCGACGGCTACCAACACTGGTCGTAAAGCTGCTCATCGTGCACATATTTAATTTGGCTACGTGCATCGCCGCGCTGCGCCTGTCACAAATATAAATTGTGGCAATTTTTATTGGCACCACAATTTGCAACATGGTAATTTTTTCGTCTTGATTTCAGAGTTCGAACTGGGGTCCAGTGAGCCTCGCGGCACTTGCCTGGATTTTGCCCTTTTGCCAAATGTCGTCAGAGCTGACGCCGCTAATAAATGTACCTAAATTAATAATAATGTTTATTCTCTTGGCTATTCTACAAATCTTCTTGTTCTGAGTTTATGGCTTTGAATATTTATTGCTAATTCAATTGAATATTTCATTATCGACGAAGCGCGATAAACACAGTTTATGCAGCTAATTACAATTTTAATTCGAAACATTTATCAACTAACAAGCTTTAATTGCTCGTAAGATATCTAACAGCTTAAGTGATTTATGGGGAACTAAATAGACAAAGCAGAAGTTGAGCGAAGACTGATTGATTTGAACACAAAAGCTGAGGTGAGAAGTGAGGAAGGCAAAGAAGGGAGACATTTGTATCTATATCTGTATCTGTATCTATATCTGTATCTGTATCTATATCTGTATCTGTATCTGTATTTGTATCTGTATCTGTATCTGTATCTGTATATGTATCTGTATCTGTATCTGTATCTGTATCTGTATCTGTATCTGTATCTGTATCTATATCTGTATCTGTATCTGTATATGTATCTGTATCTGTATCTGTATCTGTATCTGTATATGTATCTGTATCTGTATCTGTATCTGTATCTGTATTTGTATTTGTATCTGTATCTGTATCTGTATCTGTATCTGTATCTGTATCTGTATCTGTATCTGTATCTGTATCTGTATTTGTATCTGTATCTGTATCTGTATCTGTATCTGTATCTGTATCTGTATCTGTATCTGTATCTGTATCTGTATCTGTATCTGTATTTGTATCTGTATCTGTATCTGTATCTGTATTTGTATCTGTATCTGTATCTGTATTTGTATCTGTATCTGTATCTGTATCTGTATATGTATCTGTATCTGTATCTGTATCTGTATCTGTATTTGTATCTGTATCTGTATCTGTATCTGTATCTGTATCTGTATCTGTATCTGTATCTGTATCTGTATCTGTATCTGTATCTGTATCTGTATCTGTATCTGTATCTGTATCTGTATCTGTATCTGTATCTGTATCTGTATCTGTATCTGTATCTGTATCTGTATCTGTATCTGTATCTGTATCTGTATCTGTATCTGTATCTGTATCTGTATCTGTATCTGTATCTGTATCTGTATCTGTATCTGTATCTGTATCTGTATCTGTATCTGTATCTGTATCTGTATCTGTATCTGTATTTGTATCTGTATCTGTATCTGTATCTGTATCTGTATCTGTATCTGTATCTGTATCTGTATCTGTATCTGTATCTGTATCTGTATCTGTATCTATATCTATATCTATATCTATATCTATATCTATATCTATATCTATATCTATATCTATATCTATATCTATATCTATATCTATATCTATATCTATATCTATATCTATATCTATATCTATATCTATATCTATATCTATATCTATATCTATATCTATATCAATATCAATATCAATATCAATATCTATATCTATATCTATATCTATATCTATATCTATATCTATATCTATATCTATATCTATATCTATATCTATATCTATATCTATATCTATATCTATATCTATATCTATATCTATATCTATATCTATATCTATATCTATATCTATATTTATATCTATATCTCTATCTGTAGCTGTATATGTACAGATACCGAATCTGCATTTTCACGAGTATCTCAAACTCATTCTATATCTGCAATTCAGGCAGTTATCTCTAGCTGTATCTTTAGAATTGATGGCATCAATCAGTGCATCCATTAGCAGGCTCTCAACTGGCATTACCTTTTACAAGCTGCAGTCACAATTGTTGATCGCTGCTTCACCCACTCAAAGTGTTGCGATTAATTGCCGCTCAGCATTGGCATCCAACCACCAAGCCCACAAATGTTTTCATTTAGCATGTAAAATGTCAGCGCTTTGTGTCATTCTTTCTTGTAATTTATTAGTAAGTAACTCCGTCTGAATGCGATTCGTGTAAGATGCAACAGGTCTGACACCTGAGCAGAGGAGTAACCCGAACAGCAACAGCGCTTGCCAAATGCCCTGGGCATTTTCAATCCAATTTTGGGAAGGTGTGCTAGCTCGCCACATATTTGAATACGAGACAGACACTTTATGCTAACTTGTGAGTTCATTGTTTGGCTTTTGAGTTAGAGTCGTTAAAATATATATAAAAATTAAAATTATGCACGGAATCTTAAAAGAGCAATATCTGGTCTCTATGACTATCTCTTGCCTGAGATAAAATATGCCATCAGCGTATGGATGCAGTTGAAGATAGAGGCAAAAATATAGTACGGAAGTTACTGCTGCAGCGGCTCCGGAATAACTGAGTGGCTAGTCAGTTAGGCTGCTTCAGTGGTTGACACATTTTTGTTTTTTTTTCTGCTTTTGTGGAATGACCCTGACATTTAGCGTGAAGTAATTTGAGCATCGTTTAAAGTTTTTGGACGTAGCGCAGCTGCCATAAACCGGGATGCAAACATGTTTGGCATGTTTAAACGCATAGAGAAACGTTGAATTATTTGATCGCAATGCCGACCGCATATAAAAGCCAACGCACGAATGATCCACACTCAAACTCTCGCTTTCGTTGATCCAGTTCGAATATCTAAAAAATAAGCTCAAAAATATGTTCAAGTTCGTAAGTGCGCTGGCAACCAAGCAAACTCTACCGATCGTCGAGCTAATGCCTTGATTTGGATTTTTTGCAGCTACCTTTGTTCGTCCTGGCTGTCGCGGCTGTCGCACATGCTTTGCCTGTTTCCGAGAAAGACGAAGTCGTGCCTATTTTGAATTCGGTGGTCAACAAAAACGATGATGGTTCCTATAAAGCCTCCTATGAGTCAGGCGATGGAACCCTGCGCGACGAGGAGGCTACCGTTATAAATGCCGGCACCCCGGAAGAGTCACTTGAAGTCAAGGGCTCTTACAAGTACATTAATGAAGACGGCGAAACCGTTGAGGTCTTCTACACGGCTGGTGTAAATGGCTTTGTGCCCTACGGCTCCGTCGTTAATCCCGAAATCACGGCCGTGGCACAGGCAGCTAAGGATTTACCAAGCAACCAAGACTCTGAACCAGAGCCCAAGGCCAAAACATATGCCTAGTGAAATAGTTATGTAACTTTCGGAAGATGTGAATAAAATTTAACGAAAAATATCAGATAAATTCAATTAATGACAAGCGAAGGAAATATTTTTATAAGCTCGAAAAAGCAGACAATATCGTCTGGTGTTTTGCATAATCTTTCGCTCGCTCTCTTTCTCTCTTTCTCTCTCGCTCTCTCTCTCCTCGAAAATAAACAAAGATTAGAAATTCCCAGCTTCGTAGACCTTGAAAAGCAACAGCTTGGCACAGTCGCAATCAGGTCCGATACTCTCCACTTCTCTTCATACATGCGCATCATTGATAATCACACGTTTAGCCGCTTTTGATGCTGCAGTGAAGCTTGGCATAGTTCAACTTGTTGTAGTTGCTATGTGAAATATGAAATAAGATGTTTATTATCTTGTTTACAGATAATTTATTTGTATTTATTTTACTTACAAATTTTTGTTTATTTTTAAGTTTTTTAAATTATTTTTTTTTTAAATAATTAATAAATATTACTTCAATTTTTGCTAAAATTTATTTTTGGTTTAATTTAATTTTTATTATTTTGACTATTTTAAAGCATTTAATTTAGGTCTTTTTAATAACCTATATCATTGATGTTGACTTAAATTTTTACTTTTAAAAAAATGTATACTAAAATTGTGTTTTGTTGGTCTTTATGTTTATATATATATACATATTATTTTCATTTATTTAGTAATTTAATTTTAATATAAAAAATTAAATTACAAAGACTTAATGTAATTTAATTTGATTTTTTTTTTATTTTTATTAAAGTTGGTATACTTTTTAAATATGTTATATATTTTTTATAGCTATGTAATTTATTATTATTTTACTATTATCATTTTATTTATGTTATTTTTGATATGTAGTTTATTTTTTTAATATTTTGCTATTTTTTATTTCTTATGAAGTATACCTACATAAATGTTTTTACATACATTGTACAGTAAATCTACAGCAAAGGCTCCTTTATAACCTGCACAACCATAGCAAGCTCTACTGTTCTATGTAAAAAGTTCCTAATAATGTATTTGAGTCTTTAACAATTGTTCAGTCAGGCATCAATCACTTCTTCAGTTTATGCTTGCTTCATGGCAGTAATTAATTTTGTTTGCACTACGGTGAAGTCTAACAGCATTTGCCAATCAATAGCCGAGCACACATAGCACACATGATTTATTACGTCTAGCAGAAGCATTTGGAGTTTAATGCTCAATTATCGCGCAACATAATAAAATTGACAAATGGTAAAAATAATTATGCAAATTTCTCATTTCATATCAATTAAGGCTTTAGATAGCCGAATTTATAATCTTCTAGCTATTTTAATTGGAGAAGACAACTCTTTCTTGAAGCTTTATTAAAGAGAGGGAGAGAAAGAGAGAGACTTAATCTTTTGTGATCCACAAAGTTGACGTTTCATCATCGCAGCAGCCTCTGTGGCTCCAAAAAGTTTTATGACATCATTATTTGGCACTTAGCATGTTATTTTGTTGTCAAGTTTTGGGTGCGATATCATGGGCTATAGATAGACGAGATTTGCAACTTTACCAGATGCAAGCAGTGTTAAAGAAATATATTGGTTTGCTGCTGAATTAAGTCAGATATTAATGACATAATAATTAGCAAATAAACTATATTATATGTTAGACAGTTATATATAGCAAGGTTTTCTAGGGGAAAGATGCTACAGAAGTATTTGCTAAAAAATATTTAGAATATTTATTTATATTTTTTATTAGTTTTAAGACCACTCTTACAAATAGAACTATGAAGAGTGATCTCTGCGTTAAAGATGAAACCAAATGCATTTTAACATCAATTTTAAACTAGTTTTAAATGGAAATTGCCTTTTTTTATAATTTTTAAATTGAATTCAATAATTTCTGAATCAAAAACGAGCATTGCACAGTCAGTAATTTCGACTTGTTTTGTTTTTTTTATTTTTATTGCTAATCAGTTTACAAATACACAAATTTAATAATACTAACATAGAATTGTATTAAGTCTCATTTATGCGGTCTTTGACTCCACTTTGTCGCTCTGCTCGACGGCGACAGCTTTCACCTTCTCCACGGGGACCACCTCCACGGGCACAACTTCGGAGGCAGCGACAACGGGCTCGGAGACCACAGCAGTCTTGACTGCCTTGACGGGCTCAGCTTCCACAACAGTCTTGACCGGCTCATCCTCAGACTTGGAGCGAGCACGACGCTGATTGAAACGATCGGCACGTTCCTGCTCCTCGGTATATTCGGGCAGATCGGCGGCTGCCTTGGCCAGACTCGAGATCTCAGGGGCAATGTTGGTGCCGATGGGCACAAAACCATTCTTGCCGGCTGTATAATGCACTTCCACTAACTGGCCATCGGAATCGTAGTAACGATAGGAGCCTTTCACCTCAAGAGCCTCGTCATCGGTGCCGGCATTGGTGAGTGTGCCAGTCTCTGTGCGAGAGCTCTGATCACCGCCTTCGTAGGAGAAACGGAAGGATCCGTCGGTTTGCTTATCCACCTCAAAACTGAGCAGTGGAATAATTTCACGCTTCTCGGTGGTTACTTCGCTGGATAGCTTGCCGCTATTGCCGGCAACGAGGTTAACGCTGGCTCCATTGGCTCCAGTGGCCACAGCCACCAGAAGCAGGCAGATCGTTAGCTTAAACATGTCGCGTCTTGTCTGGTCTTCACTCTTAACTTGGCTAGAAGTTTGGATAGTGCGTCGCTTTTATATGGCACAGCAGTCAACGAATTAGCATCCATTACGTTATTTAACAAAAAAAAAAAACAACCATAAAAACAAAAACAAAAATAAAAAACACTAAAGAAATTCTATAGAAACTTGGCCGAATAAATTTTAATAAAACGCTCACAGCTCGATTTGCATAACTATTCACAATTCAGTGAATCAGCGTGGGGAAATATTTAAAGATCGACTCAGACTGAAGAGGCCGAAAAATATAATTAATTGATTTGCGTTTCTGAAATCCAAAGCAAAATCTTTAGTTATACTTACATTTGCCTGTTATTCAATAGGTCTGGCAAGTTCTTAGATCACACTTGAAGCTAGTTTTGGCTGATGTCTTACGAAAGATATGTTAATTAAAAAGAAGTTGGAAGAGAGTGAGATCTAGAGTGAGAGTGAGTGCTGACTAGGGTATACTCTAAGTCCGGCTTCGGCAATAATATCGGCTGTGATCGATCAAAGTTATCGATTGTTAAATCAGCGCTGCCTTTAACCTATCTATAACAACATAGCTCCTACCCTAGCACACCTTAATTCCTCAAGAGTACTCCTTGTTGAATCTGAGCAGCTGTCTGCCATTGATTACATACTTGATTCACATAGTGAATATGCCCTCTCAATACATCTGCTCGCAGGGCAACAATTAAGCTGCGTCACAAACTGGTTTTTGGCCTGGCCAACTGTAGTCATGTAGTCAGCTTAATATTTCTCTCAGAAACTGCACTCTATATTAGCATGTGCATACATATACATGGATCATTAGGCATATCAGTTTAATGAAGAAGAAGAATTGCAACAACAAAAGTCGCATAAATTTTAGATAGATTTTAAGCGCACTTAAGATGCGCTCTGATTGAGATGGCAAATAAAATGAATTACACATGCGATTCATTCATTCATCATTGTGAATGGGAAACGATGTGACGGAAAACTTAAACTGAAACTGAGCAACGTCCACTAAGGCACACGGGAATTTTTTCTGGGCGGAGAGCAATAGCAAGTAAATGAGAAATACGAGTGTGAAACCCTATTGCAAATGCGAGTAGACCAAACAGTGAGATTTTTGTATGTCAAATGTGAACGAGAAATGAAGCGAGAAACGGCTTGAGAGACGTTCGAATACCCTTTCGATGAGATGGAGGGAGTATGATGTCTTGCAAATGCAGACCCAGAGTAAGGGAAGAAATAGAGTAAATACAATGAGAAAATATGAAGAATAAAAAAACATCAATTTTTTATGTGCTTCGAGTGTGGACAGCTTAAGACATTATATCTATAAATATAAATAACCAAACATGTTAACTACAGTTGAGTATGTAACAAAAATTATGACAAAATCGAAGTGGCTCATTTTAAAGGGCACAGCAGATGCACTTAAACAGCTTTAGATGCTGACTAAGACGAAGGCCAGCAAAACGCGGGCAAATCGCAGCACACAAAGTGCACAACAGACGAAAAGGAAAAGCCACAACAAAACAACAACAACAACATTACTACTACTATAACTATAACAACAACAACAACAACAATAAAGGGTGGCTAAGGCAAAGACCAGCTGGACGCGGAGGCGGGCTAAGGCGCAGGGTGGAGCCAGAGAGGTGGAGCTCGAGTTGGAGTTAGAGAAGGCGTCTTCGCTGCAGTTACTGAGCGCATTTTAAAATGAACTATGACAGGGTATATGAGCTTGGCAATGGGCTATGTGACACTAAGCAGTGGATGTAAAAGTGAGCAGTCGAAAAACTGAAGGAAAAGACATATTAAAAATTAAAATTAAAAGGTAATGCAGATTAAAATATATATATATATATATATATTTTTTTTTTGAAAATAAAAAATAAATAAAATTTTTACAATACTTTAAATTATTTTATTTAAATAAAAAAATATAACTTGAGAGACTTGAGTTAGTAATTTAATCTTTCTGATATATAAATATGAAAAAATAAAATATATATTTTATTTAATAATTTTTCTTTGTTAGACTTAAGTTTTTCTTATATATATTTTACCCAAATAAGTTATATAATTTATAATAAAATATTCGTATTATTTAAATTTCCATAAAACTTATAAATAAATACGATAAGTCACTATTAAAATTTATTTTGTTTTTAATATAATTTGTAGACTTAAAGATTTTTTATTACTATAGATATGAATTTTACAATATTAATTATGAAAGCAATTAAACAAGCTCAAGAATGTTAATAAGAAGTAAAAACATTGCCGATATTTATATTTATAGATCATCTGCTAGTCGCGCATACCCGACTAGAGCACTCTCATTTGCTGTGCTGCTGCTGTTGTTGTTGGAGGCGCGTTAATCTCGCGCGATGTTCATCATGGCATGTTCGTGATCAGCGCGCACTCTTTGTTGCAGTTGCTGTTGTTGTTGTTTGATCTCTTGTTATTGTTGTTGTTGCTGTTGCTGTTGCTGTGGTCGCAGCTATTGCTGCAATTTTTATGAATTGCAACTGACATTTCCTACACGCTGCAAAAGTTTAAAGTTTAAAGCTGAAAATTGCAATTTTTATGCGCCGGCCGGCTTAGCTTAAGCCTAAGCTTAACGCCCCACGGCCCCGCCCCCTTTTCCGCATACCCTTTTTCGGTCGGCATATCATTTGGTTCACCTTTCAGTGGGAACTGGTGCAGGGGAGTGGCGCAGCACAGTTGGTCAGCAAATTGGCCAACATGCGCAAGCGTTTCAAATGTCTAAATTGTGATTAGCAGCAGAAGCAGCTGTTGAGATGCTGCAGCAGATGCAAAATCAAACAATGGCAAACAAATGGCTTTTTTATGCTACATTCAATTGTGTTCCATAAACAAGTGGGCAAACATTGCGCCAAGCCCCGCCCCCAAGGCAATTGCATTGCAAATGTCAATAAACATAAAAACAAGAAACAAGAATTTAATGCAAGCTAATGTTCGTAGATTCAGCAAGGCAATTGCAACATTTATGCAATATGTCTTGCTATTAATCTTTTAATTAATATTTGAATTAAACAAATTATTGCATATTGCGGCGCATCGCAAATTGAATCACACACACAGATAGAGAGAGAGAGGGAGAGAAGTGTGGGCAAACGCCAGCGTGGGCTATCAAATGAACTTCGCATTGCTAATTCACATAAATTAAAGCCTAGACAAGCTGGCGTGCCACACACACACACACAAACACACACACACACAGAATGCAGCTTAGCTGTCGGCTTAACTGATACAACACACTTGCACACTCTTGTATATAGTTATGCTGGTTATACATGGCGTATGCGCAACGCCCATTTGCATTCTGAAACACGTTGCGCATACGCCGCGTGGAACAAGTGGCAGCCTCTTCCGATTCTGTTGCCAACTCTACCGCCGCTGTCAAATGTACAGCTTCTTGATCTGCTAGCTGCCGCTGCTGTTGCTGCTGCTTCTTCTTGACAATCTGATTGCTGCTGCGCTGCTCTCATTGCGGATGCTGTCGCTGCCGCTGCTGCTGTTGCTGCCGTTGCTGCTGCTGCTGCGGCTCAGTGAATGCATTTTTGGTATAAAAACCTTTGTGTCGACTGCACTCAAGTCAAAACAGTTTTGACGAGCCTTCCAAGCGCCACACAAACGCTTCAGTTTAAAACAAAGTCGCGCTCAAATTCATTTAAGTGAGTTCGTGTTGTGCTCAAATATCTGCAAGGATCTGATTTAACAAAGGATTAATATGAAAGCAAATATCAAGGAAATATATAAAACAAATTTAAACAAAAAGTTCCTTGTGAGCAAGGAAGCTGGATTTGTTAGTGTCTGAATATAGAGACGTCTAAGTTTATAAAAAGAGATTGGCCAGAAGACTTTTAAAAGCTAGTTAAAAATAAAAATAATCTGGCATTGCTTTCCATTCCTTCTAAAATATATGTCAAGCCAAGTAGTTGCATATACGAGGTTGGTCTGAATTGATCCAAAATTTAGATTATGAAAAATCAAAGTTTTTGTTAAGGAAAATGGAAATATTTCCGAGGAAGCTCGCACAAGATCCTGACAGTGTTGACAATTTATCGATAACCAATAATCGATAACAGTACTGTTCTTTAGTTCTGTAGTTCTACTTCTCTTTCTCCCTCTCTTCTACTCATATGCATATCAAACCCACACTTAGCTGTGACCTTCTTGTCTCACCAATTATTCTTTGTGACTTTCGAAAGATGCCATAAAAGATTATTGTCGGTTATTAGTAGAGCCATCAATTGCAATTATGCATATCGTTTGACATTATCTGCCGCTGCTGCAGTGTCTCAATTAACCAATCATCTGTTTTGTCGTTTATTAATCCGAAAAAAGGTCATGCAGTTACTTAGCTCCGCCTATGTCGTTGCCGCCCTGGCGTTGTGCTCCCTGTGCCTGGTCACAGCTCAGCCACAACGCGGTCTGGCGCAGCCTCGCGGCAACTCGTACGATGCAAATGCTGTGATACTCAAGCAGAACTTCGATCTGAATCCGGATGGCTCCTATCAATACAAGTAAGTTATTGCTATTGTTGGAATAATCATGAATGTGGATCAATCAGTAAATCAATCATTCAGAATCATTATTCTGGATTGTCAATCACTGCCAAAGTATATAAGTAAAATATACAATCAGTAAGAGAGGCAACTGCTGCTCCTTCATTCAGTCATCAATCAGTCAGGATCAGTCAATCAGTTGCTCAATCATTATTCATTTAGTTACTCAATCAATCAGTGAATCAATTGACCAAGCGATCAGTTTATTTTATGAATATATCTAGTTAACCACTAAGTTAACCATTCAGTCAACTTGGCAGGACATCAGTCAATCAATCATTTACTCAGCTTTTTGAAAATCTCGATTAATATCATATATATAATATCATATTAATAGCATATCTATTATAGAAGTATGTTGCGTTTCGTCCATCATTCAGTTAGTCAATCATACTACTTGTCAGCCAATCAATCAAGCACTGCTTAGTCATTCCCACGCTCAATTTATAATTTTTTTATACTTCTTACACATTTTTTACACAGCTACGAGACGAGCAATGGAATTCGCGCCGATGAAGCAGGCTACCTCAAGAATCCCGGTTCACAGCTGGAAGCTCAGGTAGGCTCTTCGCCGTTGCTTAGTTTCAAGCGCAGCATCAAAGCGCGCCAAAACACGCATTGCCTACCTTTAGGCACTTCTTGAAAGCTTTTTCTTTATAATCACACAATTTACCTCTGGTAGGTCATGCAAGGCTCCTACTCGTACACCGGTCCAGATGGTGTTCTATACACCATCACCTACATCGCTGATGAGAATGGCTTCCGCGCCGAGGGCGCTCACATTCCAACTCCCCCTCCAGTTAGCCCAGCCGCCGCAGCTCCACGCAGATTCTTCAAATAATTCATATGACGACCATTGAGAATTATATATATTTCTATGTGTATATAATTGAATATATATTTTTGTACGATAACATCCAGGATGAAGCTCAGTTGGTTATCAGCAAAGGATTCACAGACCTCTGTCTCTAAATATATACATTTATCGTCTACCCTTTCCCTCACTCACTCCCGCTCCCTTCATTTTCCACTCTGTGTATATTTATGCATTTACCCTGCGTTCTCTTCCGATATCTTCACATCTACCTAGCGCCTAACGAATTGCGTAATATATATATATGTTTTGTACATTATGTAAGTTTGATTGTTAAATTGTCGTATGACTTAAAGCAAGCTATGCAATAAAACGAATATTGCTCGAAAAAAATATATTTAAAATGATTTTCATTTCTTGGAGTGTGGATTGGATATAGTCTAAAAATAATTATATCTATATATATATTTATTTATATAGCTAAAATGATTACGATGCTATTTCCATTGAGAGCTAGCAGAGCCAGAGTCTGTCCAGGCGCGCTGAGGGGCTGACAGGGGGGATTCTGGATAGAGTGATATAGCAGAGACATTTGTCGTAAGCAAACCTCTTAAGCATAGTTTTCTTTACGCTTTGTTTTAATATTCATTTGTGCCAAGCAAAACAAAGCTGACATCTCCTATCTTATCTCCCGCTCTTATGTCTTTCTAACCACATTAAATAGTTACAAATTTAAAAAAAAAAACAGGTCTATCTGTCGCACAGCTCCAGAGGCGTGGACAGACTAACAATGTATCCAAATCCAGATCAAACAGGATTTCCAAACTCGCAAATAATTTGGCTACCAACAACAACAACCGAAGATTGAAGAGATTACATCTTCTGGACAGATAAATTTGAATAAAATAGAAAAAAGAATAGATTTATATACTACTATATACCACTCGAGGTTTGGAGTTATATATCTAAGCTATAGTGTCTCAGGCAATAAGCCCCAACAAAGGAACTAAGTAAGAAAGACAAGAATAACTCATTTCTTGTAGCATACTTTTTGGTTAGATTAACAAATAATTTTATAATAACAATAATTTTAAATAATTATTTAATTTTATTATTTTAATTTAAAATTATTTAAACACTCTTTCAAAGCTGAAATATATTATTTATGAATTACATTAGCTTTAAAGTTCATAAAAGTTATTTTAAATTTGAGATTCTGATTTCTGCTAGAAACTGTTTTTAAACAGGTCACAAAAAAATATAAAAATTAAAAAATCTTTAGCAAAATAAAAAAGTATTAACATTTTTTTTAAATATTCTTTATTTACAAACACTAGTATAGAATTAGTAGCTATGGCGCTGCAGTGGCTCCTTAGCAGGTTGTCCTTGAAAGAAGAAAAAAGCGTTGCTTTTTGACAGAGCTTAGCGTCCAAAGGCCTCGTGGTCGTTTACCCAGCGTCCGCCACCCCAGCCGCCTCGACCCCAGCCGCCTCGACCCCAGCCGCCTCGACCCCAGCCGCCGCGACCCCAGCCACCGCCACCCCAGCCGCCGCCACCATAGCCGCCCAAACCGCCGCCACCCCAGCCGCCGTAGCCGAACTGTCGCACCTGTCGTGCATTTCCAGTTACATGTTCTTGTCCCAGATCCGCCAGGTTAAGTAGATCGTTACTCTCCGCTTTGCCCTCCAACGGCTGGGCAAAGCTGCAGGCGATGCACACAGCGCCAACGAGCGCCAAAAGTGTTAAACGCATCTTGTGATTCGACTTGTTCTACTTCGATATACACGGTTTATTGTGCACAGATGAACTGATGCTGCAAACCCAATTTCTACTGCCTTTTATTTGCCTCCGTTTCTTTCTAATTCATATCTTATAGACTTTATACCATCCCAGATCTAAAGTTGAATAAGGCTCGTGATGGACTATTTGCTTATATTAATTATTGCAATTCTGTTCTTTTTTCACTCTCACTCACGTAATTTATTTGTTTGTTGATTAGGCTGTTGTTTGTTTAACACACAGTCGAAAAGTTGCACCTGCCCAAAGGTACTTCCCAATTACACAGGCCAGCAGAAACACGATAGAGTTCTGTGACTCAGCCTTAACTTTTTCGTAGGTTTTTGATGTGCTATAAACGAAGCTGAAATTATAAATATTATTTTAATGGCTTTTCAGGTCAGTTGGAGCAAAGTTTCTGCAAATGCAAGAAGTATCCTACTTCAAATATACTTGTACCACATTTTTGTTAACACTTCAAGGTACAATATATGACTTACCATCAGCTTCATATTCGTCTGTTCCTTCGTAACAAACTTCTGTTGATTAGTGTTACTCAAGTACTAAGTGGCTCATATTAACAGTTAATTTTATTGGAAGCGGTAGCTATGGTGGTTGTGTACAATCAGGTGTGTGTGTGTGTCAATGTGTATGTGTGTGTGCGTGTATATCGATCAATTAATTTGCATGCCATAAAAAGAATGATTTGGTTAGTCAAGTTTTGTGCAATATATTCCAACATTTTGTTTGTTTTAATCAAAAAAGAGAATAACTGTAAAAGTAAAAATTGACTTGACGATATCCTGTTTAAAACGGCTCCAACTAATTTTTTATTTTAGGCAAAAAACTCATAGTTACGTAATGATTTAGATGGACTGGAGCTAACCGATCCAATCTCCCAAATAATTAGACTCTGACCAACAAATTGCTTCTAAGCAGCTTACAAAAATGATAGCAATTCAAAAACCTTACCGAAAATAAAAACAATTCACTTTTTTTTTAAATGTTCTTTATTTACAAGCACCAGTATAGGATTAGAAGCTGTTGCGCTGCAGTAGTTCCTTGGCAGGTTGTCCTTGCTAGAGGCTGCGTCGCTTATTTTGCCAGAATTTAGCGTCCAAAGCCCCAGCCACCGCGACCCCAGCCGCCACCACCCCAGCCGCCGCCCCAACCACCGCCCCAGCCGCGACGATAGCCACCGCCCCAGCCACCCCAACCACCTCCCCAGCCGCCACGGTAGCCACCGCCCCAACCGCCGCCCCAACCGCCGCCACCCCAGCCGCCGAATCCAAACTGTCGTGTCTGTCGTCCATTTTCAATGGCATGGCCTTGACCCAGATCCGCCAGATTGAGTAGATCGTTATTCTCCGCTTTGTCCTCCAATGGCTGGGCAAAGCTGCAGGCGATGCACACAGCGCCAACGAGCGCCAAAAGTGTTAAACGCATTTTGTTATTCGATTTGCTCTACTTCGATATTCACGGTTTATCGTTTACAGATGAACTGATGCTGCAAGCCCAATTTCGACTGCCTTTTATTTGCCTCTTCTAATTAACATCATATATACTCTACATCAGATCAGATCTAAGGTTGAGTAAAGCTTGTGATGGGCTTTATTTGTTAATATTAATTATTGCAATTCTGTTTTTTTTTTCACTGTCACACGTAATTTATTTATTTGTTGATCATGCGCTAGAAGGTTATTACACTTGCCTCGGTCTGCCATTTGCTTAGCACACAGTCGAAAAGTTGCACCTGCCCAAAGGTACTTCCCAATTACACAGGCCAGCAGAAACACGATAGAGTTCTGTGACTCAGCCTTAATTTTTTCGTAGGTTTTTGATGTGCTATAAACGAAACTGAAATTGTAAATATTATTTTAATGGCTTTTCAGGTCAGTTGGAGCAAAGTTTCTGCAAAGGCAAGAAGTATCCGGCTTCAAATATACTTGCACCACATTTTTGTTAATACTTCAAGGTACAATATATATACTATATATATTTAGCTGATTAGAAGTCAGCTTCATATTCGTCTGTTCCTTCGTAACAAAATTCTGTTGATTAGTGTTACTCAAGTACTAAGTGGCTCATATTAACAGCTAAATTTATTGGAAGTGGTAGCCAGGGTGGGTGTGTACAAACAAGTGTGTGTGTGTGTCAATGTGTATGTGTGTGTGTGCGTGTGCGTGTGTATATCGATCAATTAATTTGCATCCATGAAAAGTGTGTTTTGGTTAGTCTTGTTTCGTACAATATATTTAAAAATGGTTTTTGTTTTGATCAAAAAAAGCGAATAACTTTAAAACTGGAAAAGTATGGCTAGAAGATACCCTGTCTAAAACGAATCTGACTTTTTATTTATTTTAGCTCGAAAGCATTATCTGCATATATTACAGAGAGTTTTTCCAATACCCCAAGGCCCTAGTTGGAGTCATTATATAATTTTTAGGCAATCGTAAGAAGATTTTGAAAACTGTGGGAGCTTATTGGAAAACCAATATCTTTATTCACTGAAAATTATTCTATATTCTAAAAATCAATACAGCAGCCAAACGCAACCAGCTGACTTAACTGCAGCAAAAAACAATTCGTAAATTTGAACTGCACTTGTAGATGCCATTTTCACATATTTACGACGCAGAGCGCTAAAAATGACTTGGCAAAATTAATGGAACTGCAGATTAGCGTATAATAAGGCATTCATTTAAATGGGAAGACTATCAAAGCCAGTTCTAAAACAAATAAAAATTCCACAATAAATGAAATGTTTTCGAGAGTCTGCAACTCAACCCAGAGGAGTCAATAAACTGTATGACAATTTAATTTGATGACAATCACTGAGTTGAAGGATAAATAGCTTAACAGTCTGCTGAGCAAAGTAAAAACGAGAAGTACTTCCAAATACACAAAGCTGAAAACGTCGAGAACATTTATTCTTTACTACTTCATCTTTGAGTATTTTGAAATATGAGCAAAATATATTTTTGATCTTTCATTACAAGATTTTAGAGACATTTTTCAGACATCACAGTCAAGAAAACAATTTTAAAAATCAAGAACACAAAAAAATAAGGACAAAGATTTTTACGTGAAATTAAATAGTAAAAGATAACCAATTTTTAATATTTTTCATATACTCTTAGAATAAATTTTTTAGATAAAATCTATTGCTTAAATATATATATAGAATTTTTTTAATACAAGTCTTAACAATCTGAAATGATAGTAGTAAAAAATTAATATTAACAATCAAGATATTATAAGCAATAAAAAGTCATTTAAATTATATTTTAAAAAATTTTTTTTTTAAATACAAAGTATAGACTTTTTAAATGTTTAAATTTAGTTTTTAGTTCAACATATGCTTTTTTCAATCTTCTGATTATATATTTTTTAATTTTTAAATTTTTTAAAGGATCTCTTGTTACAATCAATAACTTTAGAGAAGAAAAAACTGAAATTTAAATAAAACATTGGATTTTTTAAGTAATGTTCTTTATTTGAAAACAAAAAATGTACAAAAATTGGCAATTCTGAGCAAGTGCATGGATAAGATGGCGTTGGCCTTAGACAGTTTATCTGCCCCAACCGCCGCCCCAACCTCCGCGGCCACCCCAGCCTCCGCGTCCACCCCAGCCGCCGCCTCCCCAACCGCCACGTCCACCCCAGCCGCCGCCTCCCCAGCCTCCGCGTCCACCCCAGCCGCCGCCTCCCCAGCCTCCACGTCCCCAGCCTTGACGCGCCTCACGCAGACCTTCGTTGGCATGTGCGTTCTCATCCTTCTCAAGGCTGAGCAAATCGATTTGAGCGGCATTTTGCTGCTCCTCGGCGTCGGTGTCGGTCAGGGCATAGGTGTAGGCGAGGCAGAGCACGCCGATGAACGCCAAAAGTGTTAAACGCATCGTGATTCGAGAGTTCCTTCAATGGATTCGCTGTATTACTTGGTTGGTTGCTTGGTTGTGGCTTACTGATGCCTACTGCTTAGATCCGTCGGCCTTTTATTGGCCCATCCAAAGCCTGGAAATAACCGGATGAGCTGTCGTTCCTGTTCTCATACGCATTGCTTAATTTTAAGTGTCACACAGTACTTAAAAACCACAAACAGCTTAGAATGGGAATTTTTGTTTTATTTTGTTTTGCTTTTGTTTACTTTTTGCTTGCTCCACAGCCAGGCATTGTTACTTTCACTATGTTTGTTTATTTATTTATTACTCTGTAGATTATCACACCCGTTCTGCTTGCGATTGTTGTTGATATTATTATATATTAACTCTTGATGTTGTTGTGCTGCTTTTGCATCTAAGTAAATCACTTTGCATACTGTCTTCACTTACTGTGGAGCATCTGCTCGCTAATTATGATAATGTAAGTGCTGTAAAGTATTGTAAAGTGTTGTAAAACGTTGTAAAGGTGAAGAGACGAGAGGGCTGTTCGAGAAGTTGAAGTCTTCTAAGCCTACAACAATTACTACAACTTTTACTACTTATACTACTACTACTACTTATACTACTACTACTACTTATACTACTACTACTACTTATACTACTACTACTACTTATACTACTACTACTACTTATACTACTACTACTACTTATACTACTACTACTACTTATACTACTACTACTACTTATACTACTACTACTACTTATACTACTACTACTACTTATACTACTACTACTACTTATACTACTACTACTACTTATACTACTTATACTTCCTACACTACTACTTATACTACTTATACATCTTATACTACTACTACTTGTACTACTTATACTACTACTACTTATACTACTTATACTACTACTACTACTTATACTACTACTACTACTTATACTACAACTTATACTACTTATACTACTTATACTACAACTTATACTACTTATACTACAACTTATACTAACTTATACACGACACTTTATACTACTTCTTTCTACTACTACTACTACTTATACTACAACTTATACTACTTATACTACAACTTATACTACTTATACTAGTACAACTTATACTACTTATACTACTACAACTTATACTACTTATATTACTACTACTACTTATACTACTACTACTACTTTTACTACTTATATTACTACTACTACTTATACTACTACTACTACTTATACTACTACTACTACTTTTACTACTTATATTACTACTATTACTTATACTACTACTACTACTTATACTACTACTACTACTTATACTACTACTACTACTTATACTACTACTACTACTTATACTACTACTACTACTTATACTACTACTACTACTTATACTACTACTACTACTTATACTACTACTACTACTTATACTACTACTACTACTTATAATACTACTACTACTTATACTACTACTACTACTTATACTACTACTACTACTTATACTACTACTACTACTTATACTACTTATATTGCTACTACTACTTATACTACTACTACTACTTATACTACTGCTACAACTTATACTACTTACACTACTACTACTACTTATACTACTTATACTACTACTACTACTTATACTACTTTTATTACTACTACTACTTATACTACTATTACTATTATCACTTCTGCTACTACTATAAATCAAGCTAATATTATTAGTATAGTTATTAAATAATAAATTAACAGTGTTGTAAAGTGACATAAGCTCCCATAGGTAAGTATGCACTTTGAATAGCAAACGGCAAGTCACTCGATATTGCTATGCCAAATATGAATACTATGTATACGGAATACGTAAGTATAGCCAAAGCCGAAAAGTAAACAACACAAATTCGCATATAATCGCGAATTGTCTATGACACGCTGATGCATTCTAATGGAAGCAAAACAGCCAAAGATCAAAACAAATTAGTTGAAACGTAATATCCAAATTGTGCATAGCATAGCTGATCTTCAAGAGACAAACATATATATATATATATATATATATATATTTGTTTTAGCTTTTTATAATGCAAAATTGACAAATGAATAATTTTGAAATCTTGTTTCAAAGCTGAATTGTGATATAATTCAAAAGAGCTGTACTTTATTAACTTTGACTAAATTCTAATTAACAATTGCTATTTATGATAACAGCTTTACATAGTATTGCATAATTTCAAGACATGTTTTGCTCAATAGACCAATGGGAGCAATGGGAGAGTTTGCTGACAGAGGTGTGGAGCATGAATTAGAAGGTCATTTATGTAATATAATAATATATAATTTTAAATGGATTTATATGTTATATAGGTGAAATATTTATATGTTTATGCAGAATTTTAACCTCACAGTTCAGTAACAGAACCAAACGAGTATTCACTTGGCAGCGCGGCATATTCTTTGTCCCGTTACCAAGGCACGTAGATGCAGTCAACGACCAAACAAGCAAAAGTCAGAAAATGCATGTTACCGAGTTTCTGAATCGAACCAATCGACGCAATCGTAATGCCCAAATTGATTGCAGTGTAGAATGCAAGCTAGCCGACTATGCGGAAGATTTGGATAGACGTCGTCATCAGCTGGCTCGCCAGCTGCACAGTGAGCAGCACCAGCTGGATGAGGAGCTGGCGGAGCTGCAGAAAGCACGTCTCGACTTAGCTCAGAATCAGCGCATTGAATGGATACAAATGTCGCTGATGAGAGACGAGGCAGCCGAACAGCAGCTGCTTCAACTCAAGCAACTGCAGCGAGAAATGTGAGTCAGCTGAATTTCTTCCAATCAGCGTTTCCCATTAAAAGTACTCGACTTCTTACAGCGAAAACTCTGAGGAGCATCGGCACGAGGAAACAAGGCAAATACTACTGGCAACCAAACAGGCGCAGCTCTATCAGATTGAGGAGCGCAAAGAACGGCAGCGTCGAGCTGCCCAAATGGAGGCGATCTGGTATCAAAATAAATATAAATACATATGGGATAAATAAAGATATAATCAGCTCAAAAAATTTGTAGCCGCCCTCGACTCGCCACCTATTTATTTACTTATAAATAAAATGCCATTCGATTTGCATATGCAAATTGATTATGCCAAAAGTTTGAATAATATATATGTGAAATGCAAAAATATAGTAGCCAATTAAATAGGTGTGAATATTTGTTTCGCTTTAAAAACTAGTCTAGAATAATGAAAACTTCAGCTCAAAAAACATGTGAGCAAAGCAAGCAAGTGTCGACTATAAAATACTTTGTAATTGAGTCAGAAGTTAAGAAGATGATGATAATTATTATTATTATTATTATTATGTAGTCAGCTAATTTGTCTAATGAATTGCATCGATTCTTGTTGACCTTGTTTAAATGTCTATGAGCTTGCACAATTATCGAGTGCTCAATCAACGTCACAGGCTGTGCGGGGATTGCCTTCTAGCCTAGCGTCAATTAACACCTTTTTCGATGATCAGCAAAATCGTTTTGCAATGACTAATTGTTGGGTCATGTTGTGAAATCGTAATTTGCTCATTTCAAAATTGAATAGTTGATTGAGTTAAGTAATCGACTGATCCCGCTATTAACACTTCAAGTAAAGGAAAATAAATAATGATCTAAAACCTATTATCTATAATCTATAATCTACGATCTATGATCTATTACTTCTGATCTACAATCTATTATCTAGAAAATATGCTATTTTATCTATAGTTTATGATCTACGATCTATAATCTATCATCTATGATATATAACTTATGGTCTTCGATCTTTGATTTATAATCTATGGTCTACAATCTGTGATCAATAATCTAAGATCAATGATCTATAATCTATTATCTATGCTCTATAAAATATCATCTATCATATATAGTCTATGATCTCAGATCTTTGATCTATAATTTTTACCTAAGAATGTCGCTCACTACTAAGATCGTATTTAATGAAATAATATGACTAAAATACATTCATTATATTCTTAAAGCATTTCATTTAATTATTAAAAACTTTCAAAAAATTCTTAAAGCATTTCGCTTAAATATAAAAAATTTTCATACAAATTTCAAAGCAATTTATCGTAAATCTAAAATTGTTGCCGTATATCAAATCATTTCATCAATTTTTCAAATCGGGAGAACAGTCCAGAAGATTTACCACCAACAGTTGTGGTAATAATAGTAATTTGGATAGAATTGTTGGGGGTAGTAAGTCCAGGTACGTCCCCAGGGTCCGCCAAATATATGGCGTAATTGACGCGTTCCTTCTTCTGAGTGTTGAGCGCCCACATCAGCGACATCCTTCAAGGTGGCTAGTGATCCCTCGTGCTTATTGTCCAACTGCTGCTGACCAGCCTGCTGCAGCTCCATCTCCATTTGCTCCAGCGTAATCGGAGCTGGCAAGCCACAGGCCAAAACGGCAAATGCAGTCATCAACAAAATGCACAGCTTCATTGCGAATAAATTGAGAAATGTCAACTGTCTACCAAGTGGTGGCCAGCTGCCACTTTTATAGCCCTACTCAGGACTTGCACTTTGCATTTCCAATTAGATTTATTTACGCTCACAATTTCACAATATTCTTTGACTGAATGACTCTGCATTTTAGCGGGTTTGTTTGAAGTGCAATGCAAACAAGATGGGTAATACAGTAGCCAAAAAGCGCTTAGAATAGAATTACGCTCTTAAAAGTCAATAACATTTATTTCAATTCCAATTTATATCAATTAGCAAGCACTTGTGAGTTTCAAATTCGATAACATACTTTTAGGCTGTGTCTAAAAGGTATTGTATATATATTACATTAGGCAAAATATTTAAAATAGTTAAAAGCGATAACAAGCAATTTGATAGATATTTTTGTTAGGCCAACAGAGCTGCTTAAAAATTAATCACATTTTGAGTTCACTCAACTCGCTTAGCTTCATACATATATATATATATTATATATTATATATTATATATTATATATTATATATTATATATTATATATTATATATTATATATTATATATTATATATTATATTTATTATATATATAATATTTAATATATATATTATATATTATATATTTATAAGAAATGAACAAAAATAACAAAATGACAACGCAAGCAAAATATTATACTCCTTATATATCATGATAATATGTAAATGCAGTAACAACGTTTCATTAATGAGTGAATTATAGATATTTTAAATAGCTTAACAAATTTAGTTTGTTAATCTCAACGAGTTTAGTAAATTGCTTAGCACTTGTGGATTAATGCTAGCAGCACCTGCTCCGCCAGCTCCACCATTGGCCAAAAGCGGACGCAAGCTGCTGCCCAAAGCTTGACCCAGCAGCCCAGCGATTTGGGATGCCTGCGCGGTGTTCAGCTGTGAGCCAGCAGCGGCGGAACCGCCAAGGGACGAGACTGCTGAGCTGGGATTGGCGTTGACTGGCGCTGGATAGGCTGCGGGTCTATTGCCATAGCTGGCAGTGCTGCCATAGCTTCCATAGTTATTGTAGTTGCCTGCGTTTCCGTAGTTATTATAATTGTTGTAGTTGGGTCGGTTGCCATAGTAGCTGCCTGGGTATTGTGTGGGGCGCTGATAGCCGGCATAGTTGTTGTAGTTGTAGCTGGGTCTATTATAGCCATAGCTCGGATAGCCCAAGAAGTTTGAATAGTTTGGATAGCCGAAGGCAAAACCGGGAAAGCCAAAGCCATAGCTGGGCCTATATCCATAGTAATTGCCATAGTATTGGCCTGGATAACCGCCTCCACCTGCTGCTCCACCTCCATAGTACTGATCCGACTGTGTGGCTGCACCAGCTGCTCCGCTGCCACCTACTGGCACCACTGGCACATCGTACAGAGGACGCGCCCCTGCGCCGAGCAGCAGCGGCGTTAGCAGACCCAACGTGCGTCCCTGTCGATCTGTTTTTGATTTTCCCTTCTCAGCAGCCACCAGAGCGAGGAACACAACGAGCAGACACAAACGCGAACGCAAATACATTTTACAAACTTCACTCAGGCGACGCTCAAAGACATACTAAAGCTGCGCCTCATCAAATTTAGTTATATATATGCAAAAGAAATAGGAACGTCCACGCCCCATAGCCACTATTGTTGGCCAAATATGTTACGGAAACTGGCAGACCTTCGGCGCATCCAAAAAGTTGCCAAAAATCACAACGGAAACGCGCTACGCACACGCAAAATAAGAAACGCTAGAGAAACGCGCATGAAACGCGCTGAAATCGCGTCATGGACTGGTTTCCATGCTTTCACGCATGCTCCAAAGACTGCAGACGCTGACTGACATTGACCTTGCTCAACGTTTCAGCAAATATTGGCCAAATATGTAGAAACAAAGAAAAAATATAAACAAAACCAAACACGGCTGACAGATACTCTGTAAATTGCTTAAAACTAATTAAATATGGATTTCAATTTATGTAGATCACGAGCAATAAATGAAAGCGCTTTGATTTCGAGCAAACGGACGGAGTATATAAACTAGTTTTATGGCCTTAAGAGCTATACATATACGTATAGACTATAAATACTCTCTTCGATATTAAGCAGACCTGCTTAGTTTTGCCTAGTTATGATATATACAATACACCCATATCTAATACTATCGCTCTCTCTTTTATCGATATACAAATTCAGCATACCCCCTTCAAGTATATTTCAATGGGTATTCAAAAACTGTTTCACACCGTTAATGCGTTAATATTGTTTGTTTTTTAGTTCACTTCCGCGGGATTTTCAAAAGTTTGTGGAACTTGTTTGCTTTATGGTTGAGCGAGGATTATATATTATATAGTATATGATATTTTGAGATGTCTATAATTATATTTACTTGCAATAGCAATGGCTTATAAGCCGAATAAGCAAAACAAGTACTCGACTTGAGTATTTGACGGCATACTTTAAGTATTTCTAATTCTGACATTATGATATCTTTATATAGAAACGAATATTAAGATTTTCAGTCTAATTTAAAATACATCCTAAAGCCAATTATCTTAGCATTAATTGAATATTTATTTAAGCTTTGCTTACAATTAAGAAAATTATCTCTAATTACATTTCGTTAATCGACTTTCAGCTAAATAAGTATTTAGACTACAACTGTGGGAAAATCAGATGAATGAATGTAAACGCCTGTAATATGACTTGATTATCATGTGATCCTACAATTATATATATGCATATATATGTATTATAATTTTTTTGAGTTATTTAATCTTCAGTTGACGGTTGGGCAGAGTAACTATTTATCAACCGGTTTTCATTTTTGTTGTCTCATTAATTTGACACGTCACTTAATTTTTGTTGAAATGTAATTTTTTCAACAATTTGACGTGCACTGAGCGTAAATTGTAGGAATTATGAAAAAGTTTTTGAATTGAAAATATCTATTCGAAATCATATTTACAAACATAACAAGCATTCATTAACTTAACTTTTCTTAAGCCCAGAGATATGATATAAAAATATATTTGTATCGATCGCATGCTGTTTAAAAATTGAAGAGATTTCATGATGTTTCAAGTCTAAAATGCAAAAAAAAAAATAATATTTAAAAAAATTATTTAAAATAAAACCAATTACATTTTAAAATTTACAAAAGTTAACAAATATATTATTTGAAATAAATAATACTTTTTGTAATTATAAATAATATTTTTAAAAAGTATAAATAATGTTTTAAAATTTATATATCATTTTAAGAAATATATTTAAAGAAAATATCTAAAAATCTATTCTCAGAATTTTAAAACATTTTTATTTTATTCTTGTCTTCAAGTATACAAAACTTAAGCCAACTTTTCTTTTCAAAAAAACTTACATTTAATAGCCAATTTATAATTTGATGACACATATCCGACACTTGTTTTCGGTAAAAAGAAAACGTAAACAAATTAAACAGTCTAAATAAAAATGTAGCTAGAAACAAAAACTGGTCTTTTATGCAACAAAAAGAAAAAAAGGAATAGAGAATAAAAAGCCATAAAAAAATATTGATATAAGTAGCCATTGAGACGATCTTAACTGCGCAGTTCTGCAAACAATTTAAAAGGTCAGTGATCAGAGTTCCTAACAAGTTTTTAATTATTTTCGATTGTCGCTCAGGGTATTTTAATTGTTGACGAACGAAAGCCATAATAATTAAAAGATGATAAAGCATAGTTCAGAAAGTACCCTGTAAAAATATTGAAATTAAATGGGAGATTTAAAGATGTACCAAAACTTGAGATAACCCAGTTAACCCTCAGAGCTTTGGTCCTAGAATTTGTCCTAACCACAACTTGTTGAAGTACTATAGCCAACTAGTTTAGATACCTAGGAATATTTTAAGCTAGTTGAACTTCGGCATTATTCAACTATTTTACAGGGTATTTGTTCAGTGAGTCCCCTGCTGAAGAGCCTTTCAAACGCTTATAGACAATGTGTGAGAAGTTCTGACTTTGCAACAAAATAGGTCTTTGGCTCTAGGCCAACCTAATGAATGGGCTCCAAAAGTGAGCTCCCAATGCGGGGGCATCTGAGGCGAGTGCCTTGGGGGTCTGGGATTTACGTTTATAAGTTCTGGTGAAATCATCAAAAGCAAAAAACAATTTGAAAACAAAAATAATGATAGATGCTTGAAGCTAATGATTCGTCTGGCAGGATGAGCCAATCAGATTCGCATAGTTATTCTCTATTGGTGCATCCCCCATCAAATATCGTCGAGTATAAAAGATGTCGACATTCGATAGAACCCAAATAGAAGCAATTGCAAAACTAAACATGAAACAATTTGTGGTATTGGCGCTCGTCTACTGCCTGGCCTTAACCCTGACATGGGCCCATCCGCTGGTGCTGGAGGAGCAGCCACAGCAGCTGACGCTCGAGGACGTGGATGCTCAGCCAGTGAATGATGCGGATGGTGGACGTGAGGCTCGTGGTTTCTGCTGCGGTGGTGGCTTTGGACGTGGAGGCTTTGGCGGTGGCTTCGGAGGTCGCCGCTTTGGCGGTGGTGGTTTCGGAGGCCGCGGCTTTGGAGGTGGCTATCCAGGCGGTTTCGGCGGTGGCTATCCAGGCGGTGGCTATGGAGGCGGTTCAGCTTCAGCATCAGCATCGGCCAGCGCAAGTTTTGGCGGCGGCTATGGCAAATAAACTAAATCCAATTGCAATGTAAAATTAAATGAAATAAAATTTAATAAACATTAAGTAAGAACCGACTGCTTAATACTCTATCTTGGGCAAGAAAAAACGAGAAGATATATTTATTTTGAAATTTTTGTTTAAGTTTAAATTTATATATCTATCGTCAACATTCAACAAAGTCAATATACTCATTTCAATTTCTTGGCGTTTATATAGCCGAGTCCCTTCTTCACTTTATAAAAAATAGAACCAATACACCCCTTAAACTTTTCGCAAGAGCGCAAAGCAAAACGTGAAACGAGCTTAACACGCCTTTGGGGTATAAAGGGGCACGGTTTCAACGCATTCGCCCGACTAGCTGTCGCTGGGAAGCTGCTTAATATATAGCTCAGCTGTTCACGCCTGCTTCAAGCCGGTTTTGGCACTCACGAAATGCAAACAACAAATTAATATCATAAACAACAACATTAATGCCATTAACAAAAATACTATTAATCAAAAAAAAACCTAGCGAATGTGAAGATTTTATTTATAGCAACAAAAAAAATCGAGAGTAAATAGAGAGAAAAAATAGCTTAAAATATTCTACTGCATTAAATTCGCAAAAAATATGATATATGATATGATAAGACCAGACCAGACATTGCATTAGACACTTTTTGTAATTTAAACCCGAAATTGACGTCAAGAAATTAGTATAAAAAAATAAATGTGATAAATGATTGGCAAATTAGTCATGAACAATATATTGGTTAAATTTATGAGTAAAATAAATAAAAATGATATCAAAAATAATAAAAATATTCAAATTAAATGTCAATAAATTAGTGTAATACATTAACAATAAATTGAATAAATATATTAACAATTGATCAAAAATGGAAAAATTTGTAATAAAATAAAAAATTAGTAATCTTATAATACATAAGAAATAAATGAATAAATTAAATTTAGTTAAAATGTAACAAAAACACAATTTAAAAAAAAAATAAACTGAAAACCACTTTAATAAAATTACATTGAAAATATATTATTTAAAAAATCTTTTGAAGCTTATCAGTTTTATTCTTCTAATAGACATTTAAAAGACGAAAAGAAAGCTCTGCTCTCCCTAATTAAACTAAAAATATGAACTCTAAATTGTTATATAAATTTAAATTTAAAATTAAAAATTTGTATTAAAGCGTTTGTCTCTTAAATATTTTATAAAATTATGAAATAATATGAAATTATTTTAAGCAAATTATTCAAATTAAAAAAATTTGCCACCCACATCTCACATCTTTTTTAAATGAAATTTTGAGCAAGCAAAAAAACTATAGCTCTTATACGCTTTGGACTGTGCCAAGAACTTCAAGCAAACTCTTATACAAATATATTAAGTTATAGATGATTTAATATATATTTATATACATATATAAACTTATAGCTCTCATACAAGTTGTACGCCGAGCATCAGGTTTATTGAACTTGATCAAGTTATTTTCTCTGCGAGTTTTTGAGTTTAATTCACAGTATACACATTAAAGTTCAGATTAAAATCTTTTAACACACATTTTTTGCTGATTATTTGTACAATTTTTTAACTGAAGAATCCGTTAAATACGCATGATAAATATACCTCTCAGCTCCTAGCACGACACGCCAGCCTCCCCATTCTTTGGACTAATGAATAATTCAATTCTAGTCAAATATTTTGCAATCTGTTGTAATTCGAAAATTACACGGAAATAAACTTCAAGGTGATTCAAGGTAAATAAATAATTAGCGTCTATTTATTTGTTAACGAGAAGCGCAGCAAAGGCAAATGGACACGAGCTAAACTTAGATATGGAAACTAAATTTCAATCTCTATTAAAAACAAGTAAACAAGCTTTAGGGGGTGTGTATGATAATAGATACTTTTATATTGGATTAATAGGCAGACAGAGTGAGACGGAGGTATGGGACCATCGCATATAAGAATAGATAGACAAAGAAGTAGATAGGTGAACAAATGGAGAAAATGAGAAACGGAAGGACAAATGGAAAGACGAACAGATAGAGAGCCAGATAGATAGACACAGGTATGAAGGGATGGATGGACGGACGGGATATTATGTAGACATCCTAACCCAATTGTCCCTTTTCAGTAAGATCTACAAAAGAACTCCCTAATTATTACCATTGCTAAGATCTAGAAGATACAAATACCGTGGAAAATCAGTTGATTCACAGTGCCTACCGCAACAGTCATAATAATAAAGCCACAACTTGGAAGTCAATAAATACCAAAGTCATGGATCAACTTCCAGCTCAACTCAGTTTTTGACGTCAGATGAACATCCCCCCTTAAAGTTGAACGGAAATGTTATTCAGGTGCTAATCATACTGAATAAGGGGTCTCTGTCTGACTGTCTGTCATAAATATTAGCGATTGCTTGTATAAAATGAGTTGAGAACCGAGAGCAGCCAAACAGAAGCAAAAGGAACTCCAACTGGAGCGCAGCAGCAGCATACAACACTATTCAACATGAAGATCACGCTCATCCTTTCCCTTATTGTGGCGACAGTCAGCTTTATCCAAGCAACACCTGTCAACAATCCCTATCAGGCCGTTCACTCAGCCATCGATCTAAGTGGACAGCCGGTGAGAGCGAGGCGTGCTAGCTTTGACGACTATTATATCTGCTATCCGAGCAGCGTGGTCTACAGCTATCATAGCAACTCCTTGGAGTCACATCGTCGTAGTGATGCGGAACGCAGCTTTTCGCGCTACGATGCTCGCAGAGATCGTGCGGATAGAGAAGGCCCCGACTACACAGATGTCTTTGGCAAATAGACTTGATTGAGCTATGAGCTAGATGGCTTATAAGTAATAGTCTGTAAGATGTTCGTATAGGCGCAGAAAACTATTAATATTATTTATTTATTATAATGTGTTCCACATGTAAATAGAGAAATTAAGAATTTTAAACAGAATTAAAGTTGAAAATAATAAAGTTAATCTGATTTCTGATTGATTGACACATTAAATGTGTTGTGAGGTGCGATCAGCACTAAGACTAAGGATGACTCAAGCTACCATATACGACTTAAAAGATTTCATGTCCTAGACCTGCACCACAGAAATAGATAAATATGTAAAGTAGGTAAATATATGGATTGATCTCATAGGAGCTCAAGCGATCCAGTTATGTAATATTATTGTAAAAAATGTTGTTTATTGACTAGTAAAAATAAAAACAGAAATAAAAAAAAAAAATTCTTACTGATTGACACATTCAATGTGTTGTGATGTGCGATCAGCTTTTAGTTCTAAGAACAAATAGTTTTTGAGTAGTAGTAAAATGATTATTGAATGATTCATTGACTGGTGAACAATGCACTGCACTCCACAGTAAGGGCAAAGATGATAACATTCTTACAGTTGCTGCTTCTTCATATACAATTTATTTCTTAACACATTCACAAAACCTAACAAAATATCACATTTGTTAGTAAGCTACTAACAATACATGAACTATCCCTTAGTCACTTGATTAGCCCATACTGCTCTCTTACCGTTTCTCCATTGAGTACTCGACTCAACATAGCATCAACTATCCCCTGTCAATGGAAGATGCTGAAGTAGACACGTTATTTATTACTGTGAGAGAGATAGATTATTATTAGATAGAGAGATGAATACTAAATTTAATAAAATCAGAGAAGCAAATGAATATGGAGTAGAGTATCATATTCACATCTTGCTAATTCAAAGAGAGATTATGAGATCTTAAAATTACTATCTTAAAGTTATAAGCTTACTGCTATGCTCTTCTATCAAGCCTTTCTCAAAGTCAAAGCTTTAACTAAATCGACCTCAAAATTTAATTTAAACTTAAATCTTTAATGACCTCTTACAGACAAAGCGCTCCAATTGTTTTGGGCAAATCAATATCTAGTTTAAGTTTATGGTTTTTATGTTTCGCTAACGATATTCGCGTTCAGCCACAAAATCAAAATTATAACTATAAATTAGTCATAAAAATTTTGCATGGAAACTAAAGCTGATGAATCAGAATCTATAAAATATCCGCCGAATATCACAGCATACTTTCAGGCACAGCAAGAAATAAGCAGAAAAATGTCAAGTTCGCTGCCTAAGTCTTTCGTTTACAAAGCATTCAACAGAGACCACGACGCATTTCACTTTGCTTCGTAATAATTTCATGCCATCGACTGAGACATTTAGCACCTTATTTGCGTTGGCCATTAGCCAAAAAGTGTGAATTGTTTATAAAGAGATTACAAAACGCAGACGAGATACAGCCACAGCTGCTCTCTGCGGAACTTCAGTAATACACATATATTTTTGCTACTGTCATAAAAACGTAAAAAAGACTTACCTTAACCACAAAACCGTTTTATGAGCCAAATAGAAAACTGAAAATTGCAATAGAAAGTTTTTTTTGCGCCCCCTCAGCATAAAAAGCGACTTTGACGTGCCGGAAGCAAACAGTTGTCGAACACCAGTCGAAGTCAAGCAAAATGAAGTCGGTTGCTGCACAGAAATCCTTATTGATGCTAGCGCTTCTGCTTCTTGGCAGCTGCCAGGCGTTGCCCGTGAAGGAGGAGGCACGTGAGCAGCGGAATATGAAGATGCTGACGCCAGGGGCCGAGGCCGATGTTAAGATGATGGCGGCAGCGGGCACAGCAAATATGACGCCAGCTTCGATGAACCTCGGCGGCGCGTTGCCCATGAATCAGATGGCTCTGGGCATGGTTAACAATATGCAGCTGGCACGTTATCCCAACTATCCGGGCTTGATGTCGCCCTTTGGTCTGCAGGCAAACATTGTCAATGGCTATCCCGGCGATGTCAATATGGGTCTTGGCTTAGGTCTGCCCGGAGCTGGACTAGGCCTTGGAGCTGGATCTATGCCAGGCGCTGGATATGGAGCTGGCATTGGCGCTGGAATTGGAGCTTCACCTGGCATCGGATTCGGCGCCGGACTGGGAGCACCTATGCCTGGAGCTGGCTTTGGCGCTGGTCTGGGAGCTACACCTGGTGCTGGACTTGGACTAGGACTTGGCGGCTATCCAAACACTGGCTTCATGTACGGTAATTCGCTCTATGGCAGTCCACAACCTATGCCTGGCTTTGGTCCACAGGGCACGCTGGACGGCATCATCGGCATGGCCAATGCACCAGGTCTAGCACCAGCTCAAGCTGGCATCTACGGCCAAGCCGCTGCACCACTTGGACTTGCACCCATGCAGGGCTTCTTTTAATTAGCTAACTTAAAACTTGCAACAAATTTGAACAATTATTTATTTAATTTATTTAGCTAAAATATATAAAACGCGAACATTTATTTAATGGAATTTCTTATACATGGTAGCCCACTGAAAGAGTTGCCTGCGCTGCTGCAACTGTTGTTGCTGCTGCTGTTGCGGTTGATGTTGATGTTGCTGTCGATGTTTCAGTGCAGTCAGTGCAGGTTGATGGCGCTTGGCAGCCAACGTGTAGGCGCCCTTGCCCACAAAATGATTTGGCAATACGCCCACGCGTCTCTGCTGCGCTGCAAAGGTGGCCAGGATCAGGCAGAGGCTAAGGCACAGCAGCAGCAAAAACTTATAGCACATCGTGTCTAGAATTTTTTCCGATTACTGTGACTGCAACCGTTGCCAGTTGCTGCTTTTATGCCACTGCCGGGTGTGTGCCACAACCAGCTGGAAAGTGGATTAACCGGGGATTTGGCGGCTGGATTGCGGCTTAAACTGAGTTTGAAGTAGTTGCTAGGTAATTGGGACTCTTTGGAGTAGTTGCTCTTAACTGGGACTTTGCTTTAAGTCTGTGGAGTAGCTGTTGCTGTTAACTAGTTTCGCGACTCTCGCATATTTCACAATTGTCCCAAAAGGCAAAAGTCGCTAATTATGCCGCCAGCCGAGTCGAGTCGAGTCGCGTTAAGTCGAGTGTCAAGTGCAAGGCGAAAACCAAGTCCAAGTCGAAACTCAAGTGTTGACCAAGATACTTAATGCAGGTATACACAGACAAACAGAGAGAGATCACTAATTTGTTAGTCACTTGGCAATTGGCTCTTTAGAAAGTGAAATTTGTAGGGTCCCATTGTTCGGCTAGAGACAATGGCACATGTTGTTTTACATGGAAACATTAGCAGCTATAAACCATACCATATACCCTGCTTGAACATTTTCAATGGGTTTAGGGTATTCAAAAAAAATTACCCATAAGCAATTGTCATCGCGTCTGAGTAGCCTGCAGCTTTGTTATGCTACCCGTGGCTGTGGCCTATTACGGCATTTAGTTAAAGGCTATATAATAATCTGAATGAATGAAATTACCTTTAGAATGGGTCTTCGCTAAGAGAATCATAGAAGACTAGAGATACCCTAAATAGTGCTGATTGAATGAAAGAAATCTCGAACTGACTAAGAAATACTCCGAAAGAATCGATAACAACTAGAATTACTGACTTGTAGATATAAATCATAATGCTAGAATATTCATGCTATAAGAATACGAGAGGAAGCATAGGTAAAGTATAAAATACAGTTAAATATCATGTTAAATGATAATGCTGCTAAGAGTGCATGGCAGCCAGTTCAAAATGAGTATCAGAATCATATTTTAAGCATCTCCATTCCAAATTTGAATGGCATGAAAAATGCTCAAAAAAAAGGTTAAATATTCACCGATATTTATCGATTTCTAGCTAAGCTATCAACAACAAAGTTAAGGTACTCGTCAATAGAGACTTTATTTTAGATTCAATTTATTTATTATAAATATTATAATATATATATTATAAATATTATATATTATAAATATTATAATATGGTCGAATCTAAACTATTACATGAAATACAATAAAATAAAATGCAAAATACATTAAATGTAACATAAAATATTCAATATATTAAATTACACATATTTCTTAATTTAAGGGTCCTTTACAGTTTCTATATGAAGTGGCCAAAAACTTTAATGCATAGACTTACTTTTATAGATTCTATAGACTGGAAACACTAGAGACTCTAGCGACTCTATAGACAACATAGACCTTTGAACGTCTCATTTTTCGAGCTGTAATAGTTACTTAGATCTGTTCATCTAACAGATCTCAACAAAAACATATACAAAAAATTTTAATTCTATATACTTCATACTCCTCTTGCCCTGCCTGTAACCTACAATTTCACTTAACCCATCTACCCCTATGTGATTCACTTTCAATTTTGCCATCCATAAAAATATATCATTCAAAACAATTTTCGCTCATTTTTCACTCTTGCAGGTGAATTTCCAGCTGTTCTTTTATGCACAAGCCTAAATCGAAATATAATTGAGTTCTAGGGCAGATTTTTGTCTTTTATTTTATGATTTATAACAGGTCAAGTTATTGTTGGAGATTTCCAAAAGAGATTTGAATGAGATTTGTAAACTGAGTACATTTTTGACCTGCGCAACAATTTTACCCAATAGAGAGTTTACGCAGGTGTGTGTGTGTGTATGTGAAGCAGGTATGACACAGTTAATCTATAAATGCCATGTGCAGCATGCAAAAGGTTTGTTTGTAGAAGACTTTGTTCCATTTGCCTAGTAAAGTAGACCCCGAACAGAGGCTTGAGTAGATTTCGTGCTGCGTTTCAGCTCATATAAGACGCAACTCGTTCCAGTTGCAATGCAACAGTTTCTTATTAAACGCCAGCCAAGTAGGACACACACATTTCGAATGCTCAACACATCAACGACAACTGTTGGCAGCTGTCTGCTGCTGCTGCTAATGCTAATGCTGTTGCAACTGGGCATGGCCATGCCCTGGTGGCGTCAGAACGATGCCAGCTACGATGCCAGCTTGGATCCCGTTGCCTGGTCTCGTGCTTTCGTTCAGGATCAAGTTCGTAGACCGCGCATCAGTCAGCAGATGCTATTGCCACAGCTGGAGAAGCCCAGCCGCAGCTGGTGGAGCAGCAGCAACAGCAACAGCAAGAAGAAGAAGAACAACTACAAGAAATTCTCGCGCAGACATCGTAAAAGGCGTTTGATGCTGCATCAAACGAGATGTTAAGCCACTCAACTGCCAATTAGCATAATAAATTATTTGCCACAAACTAAAACGAAAAAGTGTAAATTTATGGTGTTAAAAAAAGCTGCTTAATTTTAAATTTCCAACACTTAGTGTGCATAGAAGACAGGTTAAATCAGTGCTGATTCCAGAGCATCGAAAGTAAGGGAAGCCCAACCAACCTGCTCTAACTCTCTCTCACAACTGCAACGCATTTTCTTATCAATGGCATCGATTACAAAATCTATAGTTAATTCAATAGGCAACTGTTGCTAAGGTCAATTGGATTACGTTTCAAGACCAAATCCCGCCAAATACGCAGGCGGTAAAGACAAATGCAAACATGATGTAAGCGAACCCACAACAAGAAAAGACAACCAGCTAAAGACCTAAGCAAACTATGCACAGGCAGAGGCAGAAGCAGAGACACAGAAAGAGCCACAGTCAGAGCCAGTGCCCGAGTCAGAAGCTAAGCCAACCCAATCCAACTTTGGCACCAACATTTACACAGACTACTGCGACCTGAGCGACTGTCAGATGCTCTGTAAACTACATGGAGTATGTGAAGTTGTAGAAAAGGGAAATTTATATTGGGCTTATATTAAATTATTAAATAAAATAAAAATATTATAAAACCAATAATTTTTAATATTTTAAGATATATTAAAAAATTTTAATATATGAAAAATGTTAAGTTCAAAAACAACTGTATTAAAATAATAAAAAATAATAAAATTATTATCCCACAAAATTATTATATTCATATTTATTTTAATTAAAAAATATATATATTCAAAATTGATTAATTTGAAAACTTTGACCACTTTAACCACTATTTATTTTTATACATTTAAAAATGAATACTTAAAAATAATAATAATAAATTATGAATACAACTTTATAAAATTGAAAATCAAAATCAATAAAATAATTACAATTATTATTAATTATTTAATTAACTATTATAATTAATTATAAAATTAACTATAATTACTTTACCAAAAATATATTAAAAATAAATATGATTAAAAAATTAATTAATAGAAAAATAGTTGTCTTTCAAAAAAATAATATTGAAAATTTATTATTTATTAAGAACTTATTATATTTTAATTTTCATCTCGGCCACAGATTGCCCAGTTGCCTAAAATATTCTAGCACTTGAACAACTCAAGTGCTATAAGGAATTATTAAGAAATGCATTTATTTCTCTCAGTGTACGCACATAAACGACGCCTGGTCTGCTAACACTCTCAAAAATATGAATGAATGAATGAAAGTACATTTGGATATGAAAAGCAAGCATAAAGTCGCAATGTGGACTCAGGCAATTAGCAGCTACACGCACGAGCCACGCCCCTACCAGCCCTTAGCAGATCAGCCAGAAGTAATGCTGTGCATATATAAGCATGAATCTCTGCCACTTGCAGATTAAGTACAAATCAGTTAACAGCTCAGCGAACATGAAACTTCTCGTACTGAGCCTTTGCCTAATCGTGAGCTGCTGGGCAGCGCCTGTGGAACTGCAAGTTGAGCCACTCAGTCTGCTCGATGTGGATGGAGATATGCAGCTGGAGCCATTGCAGCCGGAGAGTGAGCGTGTGGCACGTGGCCTGGGACTCGGTGGCTTCGGCGGAGGCCTCGGTGGCAAATTCGGTGGCTTCGGCGGCTTAGGTGGCTTAGGTCACGGCTTTGGCGGCGGCTTTGGCGGTCATGGCTTTGGCGGTGGCCTGGGGCATGGCTTCGGCGGCGGTTTCGGCGGCTTCAAGGGACTCTTCAACAAACACTTCTAATAGCTAGACCTAAATATTAATTTTTATTATTAAATTTTTTAACAAATTCTAGTTGTAATAAATAAAACATTGCAAAATGAAAGACTAAAAATTTTGCGTCAAATAAATTGGATTTAAGGCTCCGTAATATTGCAGCTCTGGCTGAGCATCATAATCCACGTCAGTTTCGGGCGTGGTGCTGCGCAACTGTACGCGTGGTGACTTAGTGGTGCGCCAACTACGGAACACTTCTTGCACCTGAGCCACAAAGCCACGCCATAGACTCAACGGTGGTTGATAGACTGGAAAAGTGGTTCAGAATGAAGTTAAAGAAGATTTAAAGTTGAGAGAGTTATCTTCTAATGCCTACCCTCTGCGTGTGGTGGTGCCACCTGTGCATCGTATTCCAGCTCATCTAAGGAGCAGACGCCCACTAGCAGCAGCATTAGGCAAATCATACGCAGCATTTTGAGCTCAAATCCAAACTGAGCCGAAGTCGTAGACAAATTTATATAGGCGCGTCGCTGTGATGGCCCTTGGCCACTTTCCCATCATAAAATGGCGAACAATCATAACTACCAGGCCAAACATAAGATATTGATTTTCCAGAGAAAGAGAGACTGACTGGCAGATACCCTGTACGCAATTTCACTTCTTTATAGATATTTTTCCTAGATATACCTTTCTATTTATTCTAGAAATTCAGTCTATTCTACATTTTGTATTACTTTTATTTCAATATACAGAACCAACAAGTTATTTTTGGGCAAGTCAGCTGTCTATCGATAGTTATCGATTTTCTAAACTGTAATAAAAACTAGATACCAATCAAATTAAATAGTTTAGATCTGCCTCATATATCAATATGCCATCAAACCATTTATATTAATTGATTTTCATTAAGTTATCGAATTTATCGATTACCTAGGTAGAAGCTATGACGCCACTAATGTCAATTTCATATGACTCGTTTTATAAAACATACGAATTATGATTTTATCGCAAATTAACATATACATTTCATGTGCTTGTTTGTTTTTGACTGTTATCGATCACTAAATATGTTTTGTTCATAAGAGAAACTCGATACCAATTAAGCTAAACTCATTTTAAGGCTCTGATATTCAAGTTTGCCATTAAAAACACTTTTTCTTATCTTTTATTTATCGATTTTAGTGCATCTATGAACATTATCGATCTCTCAAAAATCAAGACACCAATAAAAGAAAATTTTTTTATCCCTAAAAACGTTGTATTTATATTATATGAATGACTGATCAGAGCTAGATGACTTTTCTATTTCCTGATCACACAGCTCTTGAATATGCTGCTCGCATTCTGCCTGTTGACTCTCTGCAATACCCCACACTAAACTCCCTGCAGCTATGTTCCATATTCTACAGGGTATTAAAACGCACACTTATTTATTGAGGCAACGCCAATAGCTGTGCGGCACACAATGGAATATCACAAATATCAAATGTTCATACAGATATATGTATATATCTATAGGTATATAAACTGCGAAATAAAAAGAGCAAACTTTAGCCAGAGAAGATGGAGCTACTGACTGCAAATTAACTGCGATTGCCAATGTTCGCACTGGGATCCAAAGCCGACACGGAGACTACCAAAGCCGTCGTTGCCTAAGAATTGACGTACTTTGCGCGCACCACCATCAACTTGATCGGTTCAACAATTTTTTGCACCGCCAATTCATTTGCTATTCAACTATCTCTCTCTGTCTCTGTCTTTTTTTCATCCAGTCAAATAATATAAAAATCACACTTATTTATTGAGGCAACGCCAATGGCTGTGCTACACACAATAGAATATCACAATTATCAAATGTTCATACAAATATATGTATAAATTTATAGATATAATATAATAGCAAAATAGAGAGAACAAGGCTTAGCCGTAGAAGCCGAAGCCACCACCAAAACCACCGTAGCGACCGCGATGGCGAGTGCGTGTAACCACACGCGTGCGCTGAAATCCGTAGCCGACACCCAAGCCAGCGTAGCCACCACCGTAGCCGCCATAGTAGCCACCATATCCACCATAGTACGGTGGTGGTGGTGGTAGTCCACCGTAGAATGGCGGTGGACCATAGAATTGACGTACTTTGCGCGCACCGCCATCAGCTTCATCCGCAACCACATCCGCTTGAGAGTTCTCGCCAGCTGTTAGCAGAGCCTCCTCCGGCTCCTGCGCCGCTGACAGCAAATCTTCCTGCTCCACTGCACCGCTTAGCAGCGCACAAATGCCCAACAGCAGCAGGCCAATCTTCAGGTATTCCATTTGGATTTTTGTGAGCCACTAAAACTGAATGTCGAGTCGAGCTTCAATTTATAGTCAAATATTAGGAAAATTACCTACCTGGAGAGGTTCAATAGCATTTCTTGAGTGCCATTGAAAGGTTTTTTATTCTTTGAACTTTTTTATTTTGAATTTTTTTTGCCGCACCACCAAAAGGCAAAAGAGTAATTACGCTTAAAAGCCGCAAGCGAGGGCTGTGTTTGGCTTTTAAGTTGTTTACTTCAAATTGAATTTGAAATTAAGCCAATCTTAAGATCTTGTTGCCAGATGCGGAAGTCTTGATAGAACTGTAGAGTGCACAGCTACTCGAGTTACTTGATGTATTACTTTGATATATGGGCTGAGATCCAGATGATTTATGAGTGCCTTATCATGAATTTGTAACGTTTATGCGTGGTATATTATGATATTGTGATGTTTATGCGTGACTTATCATGAATTTGTAATATTGTTTACTAAAATGTGAAACATTAAGTACAATGAAACCTTGTTATGTTTATGCTTGCAGTATAAGTCTGTAATATAATAAATGTATCATGAGTTTGTTTTCTTTTAAGTTCAGTAACTATCGACCAATTAATTAATATTGTAAGTTGACTCATTTGGCTTTCAGTCTACATCTTAAAAAGTATTTCTCTCAATCTTAAGCGTAATCTTTTAGCTCTATACATTTATCCAAAAAACTCATTTGATTTAGTTTTCCACGCTTAAAACTTAAATTTCGATGAAATATTCAGCAATTGAATTATTTTACTCTCAATTCATTTTTTAAGGAAATTTGACATAGCTGTCCATAGTACTTGAGATTCAAAGATCTCTATGTCTTTCTGTCTCGCTTTCGTTCAGCGTACTTGAAATTCAAAGATCTCTCTCTATCTCCCTCTATCTATCTTACTCTCTTGCACTATCTCTCTTTCTCTTAAGCACAGCTGCCGATCTGATTTAATGCTCAGCCAAAAGGCACTTGGCGACTGCACAGAAAAGACTCGAGTTTTTTATCGGAAGGTTTCATAGCTGTTTGTTGTTGTTGCGTTATTTGTGTATTTTTATTTAGCTAAACGAATAAATAAAGCTGAAAACGTAAAACGAAACTTGAATAACAACAACATCAGAGCTGAAAAGAAACTGCAGCATCATCAAAGAAAAGACATATTTAAGATGTATATATAGATCGATATATATATATATGGCAACTCTTATGTGATACATATTAGACTTTATCTAGATTATTTTTATTAATAAAAACTAAAAAAAATATTATAACAAATTTATTGTATTTAAGAAAATATATATCCATTTATATCGGTATATGTCTTTATATTTTCTGCTATTTTTATATATTTTTCGCTTCACTTCAATATCTTGACTTCAGCCCAAAAAACCGCCAAAGCCAATACCTTTGAACTTGGCAAAGCCAATGCCACCGCCAACAAAGCTACCAGCGCCTAGACTTCGACCATAGCCGCCACCGTAGCCACCGCCATAGCCACCTCCAAAGCCTCCACCGTAGCCACCTCCATAGCCAGCATAGCTGGGCACTATGCTGGATATGCTGGACACAACAGGCACGGTCGTAATAATCGGCACGGTTTGTATCACGGGCACAGTTTGTATGACAGGTGGTGCAATGTAACCACCACCACCACCACCGCCACCAGCAGCTACTATGCCACCGCCCACAATGCCACCGCCAATAAAACCACCTCCAATGTGTCGCGTATGTCGCACAAGTTCATTGCCTTCATTCACGATGGGCGTGGCCTCCAGCTGAGCAACGACAAGTGCGAAGATCAGCGAATAAAACGTTTCACGCAGCATCTTTGAAGCTCCAACTGATTGGAATAGCATCGCCAACCTCGTTATTTATGCAAATTAATTAGTGGGCCACGTCTGTTCGCATCCCATGGCATAGCGGCAGGCATATTTGCTTTAGCAATTCACAAATAACTGGATGCCGAAATTCCCCAAGCACTGAAAGCTAATTCCATTTAGATCTAACTCGGAATATGCTCATAAGCAGCTGCTTAGTTTACACTGGGATAAATTGGGTAGCAGCTATTGAAGATGGTGTCAGCAGACATTGAAGAAAGAGAAGAAGGAGAAGAAGAGGATGACGAGCAAATCACTTAGTCAATCAAGGAGTCACTCAATCATTGCTTCAGCCACGCCGTCTACTCAGTCAGGCAATCAATCAGAAAGTCACACAATTTGTAAGAAACAATATAAGAAGAAGATGTTTGAGATAATAACATAATCAGTTCATCAATCAATCATTCATTCAATCAATCAGTCAATCAATCACTCATCAGCAGTCATAATTCAGACAGTCACATAATACCTCAATCAAACAGCCCTTTAGCCTAGTCTAGTCTATCCATCAGTCACTCAATCAGTAAAGTAGTCAGTCAATCAATCAATCAAGCAGTCAAATAGTCAATTCAATTAATAAGTCAGTTACACTCAATCAATAAGTCACTCATTTAGTCAGTTATGCACACATTTTTCACAAGTCATTCAATCAATCAACGATAACTTTAAAATATTCCCCCAAAATTTCTTTGAGTGTATTTCACACATCAACCACATCGATCACAACTGAGTGAAGGTCAGTTTTGGTTGCGAGCCACGTGCATAGAGACGCGTAAGTGAAGACCCAGCCAATGCTTGGTTAATGCGTATGCAAACATAGCTAAGCTGGTGGGGTTTTTTTGTGGTGCTGCATGACGCACCACGCAAACGCCGCATAAATACGTTGCGACGTCTGCGCCCGCGTCGCAGAACGTAATCAACTCGACATCCAAGATGAGTTGCTATATTCAAGTGCTGCTGATTTGTGGCGCAGCTGTGGTGCTGGAGGCTTACGGCTTGGATGGCATCAGTGCGGTGCCGGTGGTGCAGCAAGTGCCGGTATTGCAACAAGTGCCGATTGTACAGCAACAACCACAGGCGCTGGCCTTAGGTGGTGGCTTGCTGGGCGGTGGTGCGGCTGGCTTCGGCGGTGGTTTTGGCAGTTATCGCGAAACCATTCGGGTTAGGGGACGTGCCTTCGGCGGTGGCGGCTTCAAGGGTGGCTTCGGACATGGTGGCCTTGGCGGCGGCTTTGGTGCCGGTGGCTTCGGCGGCGGCGGCTTCCGCGCGCGCTACGACAAAAAGGTGGTGGGCGGATTTGGTGGTGCTGGCGTACTTGGTGGAGCAGGAGGTGCAGCGCTGTTCGGATAAACAAATATATATAGTGGTGCCAATGATTTATGTTTATGAAATAAAGCCAAAGTGAAAACATGGATACCCTGTAGCGTCTGATAAGTTTAAGCTAGAATGCCACCCTGTATACTTTGTATTGATAGTGCTCATGAATGTTATCAAGTAAGCATTGCTTTTATGTTGTACTTAATGGAAAAAAATAAATATATTTCTTCTTATGTTCAATCACAAGTCAAAAAAAAAAAAACACCCTGTATATGTTGTTATGCTCACGCATTTTGCTGACATGCGCATTTTCAACCCTGCTGCTGCTGCTGCCGCTGCCTTTGCTTGGTGTTGTTGATGATTATGGTGGTGGTGGTGGTGCGGTAGCGGGTCTATATAATTTTTTATTTTTCTGAATGGGGCAGCCAGCCAGCCAAAGCAGACAGTTTTAGTTGGCCAGGCGCCTTGGCCACAGTTCGAGTCAGTCGCTCGCTGCAGTCGCTCGTCGTAGACGCTGACAGCGCGCTATCGCTCCCTCTCTCGCTCCCACTCGGGCTTGATTTGATTTTACAGTTAGAGTTGCACGAGCTGCAGCCGCACTTGCAACAAGCTGAGCAGGTCGAACATTTTGTTTGAAACAAAGTCAATTGTTAAATAAAAACAGCTAGGCAAAAGCAAAAATCTTAACTAAAAATAGCAACAAAATCTGAGCTATAAATCGGGCATAAATATATATACTCTTATATACATATATATGAGAGATAAATGTGCTGTGTTGTTTTCTGTGTGTGCGCCAAGTGGAAAACTGTTTAAAAATAAAACAAAAACGCCAAACGGCAAAAGCTTCAACAAAAACTTTTGTCATCAAAGATATGAAGAGAGGAATATAACATAACTGCATAACTGTAAACAAGAACAACTATAACAACTCCTACTGGAACAAGAAACATTCAGGTACTTCTTACATATGATTCGATTTGATTTGAGTTCAGCTGCTGCGCGCTGTTTTTCCTTTCAATGTTAATTAAAAACCAAAATGAAAATTTTGCAAATGTTGCTGCGGCGCTCGCTCCGGCGCTCTCACGCTCTTCCGCTCTCTTTTACTGAGACACACACTCGCACACATGGAAGCTCGTTATCTATGCTCTCTCTTGCTCTTAACGGCGTTGCCAGACTGTTGTCATAAATCACATATTGTTAGTAGTTCATGTGAACTGCAGTTGATCAAATCTGTTTTATTTTGTCAACTAATATTGTTGTTGTTGTTGCTCGCTCTCACTCTCTCGCTCTCTCTCCCTCTCTTTCTTTCTCTTTAGCTTATCTACTATTACCTGCCTTATCTCATGAGCACACTGACTTCCTTTTTCTTGTTTGCCATACATTGACACGTATCATTATGCACAACAACAACAACTGCACACTTCTACTTATAATATGTATAAGACGGAAAACACGCACTTGTCTTAGTCTCAAGTCCTCTGACACCACGCTTGCAATTAGCGTAATTGCGGCTCAACACACACTCGCACGCACACACACATGCAGCTGTTGGTCTCATATGACAACGCCAATTTCTTTAAGAAAACACATTTGTAGTGATGTTTCTAGAACACTGTAGCCTCTATAATGAAATATAATAAGCTTTTATAAGTTTCATACTATTTTTAATAGATGTCATTCTTTCATTATAGACTTTCAAGTCTTCCATAAACAGCCCTAAAATATTTTACTTTCGACAATTTTATTTTTCTCCTAACTATAGATTAGTCCCTCTTTCTCCCATAGATACTTTCTTATTTTAACTGTTTAGTTCCAGTATTTTCTCTTATTGTTGAACTATCCACCATTCTTTATTCAAGCATTTTAAAAAAATTTTTTATGAATTCTGATGAGCTCAAAAATAACAATTTTTGATATGCTTATTTTGTGTCTTATGTTGTGCCCTTGCTTGGGAACTTCCTTTAACTACATTCAATTTGCATTATGAATATGGAAATGCTGATGAGCTTTGATTATGGCAATTTCATTGTGACCTCGCCTCCCCCTCTACTTCCTGTTATTGAGCCTAAAGTTCACATAGTAGCTGCGCCCAATGATATAAATAGTTATCAGGCCGAAACGTTGCCCACCCCCTGCCAGAAAATCTCTCATCCACGGCCCACCTCCCACCACCCACGGTGCTGACGTCGTTGCATTTGTAACCCTGACAATGTCAGCTGTTGTATGTTGTTTGTTTCGTCCACCTTTGACATATTGTGTATTTAGTTCAAGGTCAATCGAAAGTTTTGCTTGATAGCAAGAAACTGGAGCAGCGATAAGCTACTCATCGAATTTGGTTTGTCCACTACAGAGAGGCTAACTGCTGGCTGGCTTGTCCACTGTCAAGGGCAACAGCGAAAAAAAAAACAACATGCGTGTTCTTAACGCCAGTTGATTACTTTTATTCGTGTTGCGAAACTCTCATTATTCAAAAGGTGTCAAAAATATTCTTAAAAGTTCATTAACATGGCAACAGTTTTTTATGACGTCTTGAGCTGACACTTGGTGAAAACTTTTGGCTAAAAATATGAAGCATAGTCAATTTTAGAAAGATATTTAGTATAAGACATTGCTTTTTCACTACTTTGGAAGTGTAAAAGTCAGTGAATTTTTATAATAATATGTGAATTCTTTAAACAAATGTTAGATAACAGAAACTTTCCCTATTAAATAAGTAATTAATAAAAATTTTTCAGTAAGGAAATATATTGAGATTATAAAGACATGCGGGTGGAACTACGACAGTCTCAAAAATATATTCTTTACAGGTAGTCAAAAATTAAAATTCATTATTTTAAGCACATGCCGTTTGAGCTACCTTTTTAGATTAAAAATCAGCAAGTCATAAAATTCTCTAGCTCTTGTCATATTCGGCAATCTCAACAAATTTAGCTTCGAATAACACTAATACTGCATGATAAAGTAAGCACGTTTTGAATGCTCGCCAAGTCCACCTGGGCTATCGGTCAGTTGGCCGTAAACTGAGCTGAGGTAATGGGCTGGCATAGTGTTAACGGGTCACAGCTAACAATAGCAAAGGGCTTTGCACACAAAGTGTTAGTGAACTTTTGTGCCGCAGCTTGGCAGTTTGGCAGCTGTCCAGGACTTGTTTTCCAGCTGGTTGGACAAAGGATCCGCCGACAGCCGCAACAGCAGCAGCAACAGGAAGCGCAGCCATTGAACATTTAATGTATGCAGATAGAAAACGTTGCAACGTTGCCTTTGTCCACTAGCGCGACTAATTTATGGCTGTCACTTAAACGGGGCCGGCGCCAACTCACTGCAAAGCTGCAGCCCACGCGACACTCGCAACGCAAGTGGCCATAAATTGTGCCCTCTTCTAATCAGCCAGCCCTCAAGTCTGCCTCGCTCTGCGCTTCTCATAAATCAGCGGCAAGTGGAGCAGCAGCCTAGTTGGCTCCGACTTAATGGCAACTAATTGCATTTGCGCCAAAGCAAACAACGTTAAAGTGAAATTTGTGGAAAAAGCAACGACTAAAAAATACCCTAAATTAGAGCAAAGAGAATTAGATTGAGAGGAAATGGGGGAGTAACTAAAAAACAAATTTGCATAGTCTGTTTAAACTCTAGATGAAGCTGAGTACCTAATTTAATATCTCTAGCTCGCAAAGTTCTCGAGTTATGCTTGAAATGGCAAGTCTCAAAATAAACTTTAGTTAGGAAATGGAGATTTATTAAGAGAACTACCCCACTCAGCTATGCAAGCTATACAAACACTTTCAACAAGCCAATCTACCATACGTACTTTAGTGTAGGGCATAAGAAGACAGCGTTTTAAATCCCTTTTAGAGGAGAGGAGTAAGGTCTCCAAGTTATTGTGCGCCAGTCAGACGCCAGCCAGCTAAAGAGCCATTGAAGCCAACTTTTTAGCTTTTGTGTCTAACGAAAATGTTCGCATTACACATACGACGCGTTGCCAAATTCAGTTTTGCGATGTCGTGCGGAGGCGCCAACAAAGGAAGCACAAAGTGATTGAAAATTGACTTTCAGCACGCATCAACATTTTGTTATTTTGTTGTTTGTGTATTTCAATGTCGCAGGATGTTATTGTCCTGTTTATGAGCAAATTTACAAAAAAAGTTGCAAAATGAAAAAGTTTCCTGCCGAATTGCGAATCGATTTTGGTTATTCACAAAGTTGTTGGGGGAGAAATATATGTATATTAGGTATATAGGTATATAAGTATAAGAGTGTTAAGGCATATATTTGTGTATAGATATATAAGTAAAGGCGAGCTTCTTAACGCACTTGTGGGTTGGCCTTGTTAGCAGAAAGGAACTTGAATAAAGTTCAAAATTGGATTTTCTGTATTCTCAATTAGCATTTCCATAAAATCTGCCTAATGATGCCAGAGCATTGAATTGAATAGAAAAAGGGCACACAAATACCTCTTGCTCTCAGTTTTAATGAATAGCTTTCAGAAAGTGTTTGCTTATGCTTCAATTTGTGAGCTAATTAGCATATAGAACGGCTGGAACTTTTTCATTCAATAAAATAACTTAACTTAAGCAGTTAGCTGAAAATTTACCTTGGGAACGAATTTTCTGATTGTCAGTAAAGAATTTATTTTATACTACAGCTTGCTACTCTTAACCCACTTCCCAATCTTAATAATTTTCTCACCTCTTTATCCTTACAGCAACGCTATACAAAAGTGTCGCAGCTGTAGGTGTAGCTGAGTGTTCGCTTGTAGCATGCTAGCTGCAGTTATGGCATCCGATATCAATTGGGATCCAGGTAAGCATGACTCACCCACTCACTCCTGTCTACACATTACAAAAATGTTCATCTTGCAGCGCTTTCAAGATTGATAACCACACTGAAGGAATCGGATAATTTGTCCAATGATCAGGAGATTGATTTTCTCAAAGCGTTGCTGGAGTCCAAGGAGCTAAATGCCTTGGTCAATGTGCACACAAAGGTGGCCAAGGTGGGCCGAGACGAAAGACTAGCACCTGTCTTATCCACCTCGTCGCAGGTGCTGTACGAGGTACTCGAACAGCTGTCGCAGCACTGTCATCTAAGCGACGATTGTAAGGAGGCATTCCATCTGCTGCAGGATTCGCACGTGCAGGTGAGCTAAGCAAACGAATTTAACTGTAAGAGAACTTTCATTCAACTATAAAATCCAATTAGCACCTGCTCTTTGCACACGATGCGATTGCACAAAAGGATTTCTATCCGCATCTGCCGGAGGTGCCCATCGAAATGGACGAGGACGAGGAGACCATCAAAATTGTTCAGCTTGTCAAAAGCAATGAGCCTCTGGTAAATTTCGAACTCCCATCGCTGCTTTCTAACTCATGTCCATTAATGCCTCATATTGTGTCATGTCTATCGCATATATATAATGCTATAACTGTCCAACTATCCAGACCATGCATACTTCTCGCATATCGTCACAAAGTCTCTCAAACGTCCTTTGCCTCCAATCGTTTCGTTTCTTCATTCATCTAAAATCTCATACTCATATTTGTTTTTCAATGCTAACAAATCTTATTGTAAATTTTTGCTTTTGTCTCGAAAAAAAAAAACATTAAAAAATCGAATAAAATCGAAAAACAATTTCAAAATTCCGTCCATCAAAAAATTGTTAAAAAAAAAAATATATATATATATATATAAAACAGACAGGAGCACAAAGTGCGGAGCCAATTGTTGTAAGTAAAAAGTCCTTACTGTAAAACGTGAAAAGCATTAGATAAGACGGATGTTAAACTTGGCACCAACAACAACAACAAACAACAAGAACAACAAAATACTGTAACAACTTTTGTAATATACAAAACTATTTGATGTACTTTTATGTGAAACAATCAAGTTTTTTAAATGTTGTATATTTTTCATAAATTTTTGTTTTAAATTTTTTTATATTTTATATTTTGTATTTTATATTTTATATTTTATATTTTATATTTTATATTTTATATTTTATATTTTATATTTTATATTTTATATTTTATATTTTATATTTTATATTTTATATTTTATATTTTATATTTTATATTTTATATTTTATATTTTATCTTTTCTATTTATATTTTATATTTATCTTTTATATTTTATATTTTATATTTCTATTTTATATTTATATTTTATATTTTATATTTTATATTTTATCTTTATATTTATATTTTCTATTTTATCTTTTATCTTTCTATTTTCTATTTTATATTTTCTCTTTTCTCTTTTATATTTTATCTTTCTCTTTTATATTTTCTATTTTCTATTTTATCTTTTCTCTTTTCTCTTTTCTCTTTTCTCTTTTCTCTTTTCTCTTTTCTCTTTTCTCTTTTCTCTTTTCTCTTTTCTCTTTTCTCTTTTCTTTTCTCTTTTCTCTTTTTCTTTTCTCTTTCTCTTTTCTCTTTTCTCTTTTCTCTTTTCTCTTTTCTCTTTTCTCTTTTCTCTTTTCTCTTTTCTCTTTTCTCTTTTCTCTTTTCTCTTTTCTCTTTTCTCTTTTCTCTTTTCTCTTTTCTCTTTTCTCTTTTCTCTTTTCTCTTTTCTCTTTTCTCTTTTCTCTTTTCTCTTTTCTCTTTTCTCTTTTCTTCTTTTCTCTTTTCTCTTTCTCTTTCTCTTTCTCTTTTCTCTTTTCTCTTTTCTCTTTTCTCTTTTCTCTTTTCTCTTTTCTCTTTTCTCTTTTTTCTTTTCTCTTTTCTGTCTTCTATTTGACTTGTTCGCTGTAAAGAAAAACTGTAAAAAATATGTTCTACATATACACATATACATACACATACACGTACATGCCTCACTCACACACACTTACACAACACACTCAGGCGTCAGCAGCGTTTACAAAAAGTTCATTGCCTACTTTTAGGGCGCAACCATAAAAACGGATGAGGAAACGGGCAAAATAATTATAGCTAGAATTATGCACGGCGGCGCGGCAGATCGATCTGGCTTAATACACGTGGGTGATGAGGTCATCGAGGTCAACAGCATCAATGTGGAGGGCAAGACGCCAGGCGATGTGCTCACCATATTGGTATATATAATACTCAAACTATCTCTAGCCTATCTAATCTATATATATATCTGGAATTCTCAGCAAAATTCGGAGGGCACCATTACCTTTAAGCTGGTGCCAGCGGATACGAAAGGTGCGCAGCGTGAGTCTAAGGTGCGTGTGCGCGCCCATTTCGATTATAATCCAGATGTGGATCCTTATATACCCTGCAAGGAGGCTGGCCTGGCATTTCAGCGTGGCGATGTCCTGCACATTGTCGCACAGGACGATGCGTATTGGTGGCAAGCGCGCAAGGATCATGAGCGTTCAGCACGCGCTGGCCTCATACCAAGTCGAGCTCTACAGGAACGTCGCATCCTGCACGAGCGAACGCAACGCGAATCCAATGACCTGGACTCGAAGCGTAAGTATGAATTGGATTCCATTGAATTAGTGTGCATATATTATAAATATGTATGGCCCCTTCATTTATTCATATTTCGATAAAAGATAAGTTGGATTCATCCGTTCACTCTTGAGCCTTAACCTTAACTAAAAATATAAAATGATCATAATCCTAACCAAATGAACTTCATCGTCTAAACTTAAAATATTAAAAAATCATAAATTATAAATATATTAGAGGTATTCCTTAAAGTTGAGCTTGAAAATAATATATATCTGAGATAAACATTTTTATTTCAATCAAAATTTCCAACAAAAATTCTTCAAAGCTTAAAAACTTTAAGTAATTTGAGGAATACCTCAAAAAGCTCCTTCATCATTCTATTAACCAGCCCAATTAGACCTTAATTAATCGAGTCCTCGCATGCATCTCATTCGTTTCATTCTAATCACACGCTCACTCACTACTCACATCGCTACACATCGATTCCCTGCATCCGTAATCCACCTGGCCATCCAGCCGGCTCATGCGCCTCGCTGTGCACCACGCCGCCCGGTTCACCGCGTCTGCAGACGAGCAGCAGCAGCTCCTCCTGTCGCCAGCCCAAGACTAAAAAGATAATGTACGATTTGACAGAGAATGACGATTTCGATCGGGAATTGATTGCCACCTATGAAGAGGTGGCCAAGCTATATCCACGACCAGGCGTCTATCGGCCTGTTGTACTAATCGGAGCACCTGGGGTGGGACGCAATGAGCTGCGCAGAAGATTGATAGCGCGTGATCCCGAAAAGTTTCGCAGTCCAGTGCCATGTGAGTAGTTAACAGTAGACGTCATATATAAAACATATATATATTATATATATCCTATATACCCTTGCTTAGATACCACTCGACCTATGCGCACAGGTGAGGTGCCTGGACGTGAATACATTTTTGTGGCACGCGATAAAATGGACGCTGACATTGAGGCGGGCAAATTTGTGGAGCATGGCGAGTACAAGGGTCACCTCTATGGCACCTCAGCCGAGAGTGTCAAGTCGATTGTGAATGCGGGTTGTGTCTGTGTGCTGAGTCCACATTATCAGGCGATCAAGACGTTGCGCACCGCCCAACTGAAACCATTTCTCATACACATCAAGCCACCGGAGCTCAGTGTATTGAAGGCAACGCGCACGGAGGCGCGGGCTAAATCCACGTTTGATGAGGCCAACGCGCGTAGCTTTACGGATGAGGAATTCGAAGATATGGTCAAATCGGCGGAACGCATCGACTTTATCTATGGTCACTTTTTCGATGTGGACATTGTTAACGGGGAGTTGGTGAATGCGTTTGAGCAGCTTGTCCAACACGTACAGAGGCTGGAGAATGAACCACTCTGGGCGCCATCCATGTGGGTGCAGTAGGCGTAGCCACGCCACCCATCCACCCAGTCCTAGAAACAAACACCAAAGTATTTGCCATACGAATTTAGCCCAACTAAATTAAAACAAACAAAACAAAAAACTGCTAAGCTAAATGAAAAGTTAGTTGCCAATGTTGCACGGCATTTAGTTAGAAAGAGAGAGCGAGAGCGAGAGCAAGAGAAAGAGAGATATATATACTATATACGTAGATATATAGAGAGATATACTATTTACCCTTAGACGCTACTCTTCAGCGTCCTTTCCTTTTCACAACATGTACCTTTTTTTGCGTAAAAGTGAAAACAATGAAAAGAATACAATAAAAGCAAAATGAAAATTATAAAGAAGAAAGAAACCGAAAAGAGAAAAGAAAATTAAACAAAACTTACTAAAATTAATTAACAAAAAAAAACTAAATCCATTTAACCAAATTTATGCGTCATCTGTTGTACAACAATTATTTCACTTAAATAATGTTTGTCCATAAAAACAAAACTCCTTATATTAAAGATATAAAATGTTTAAATTTTATAAATAAAAAAAGAAAAACTTATAAATGTGTTACAAACTCCAGCTAAAAGAGTTTTTTCTCAACTATTTTTAAGAATTTTTTTATTATATTTTTTAATTATTTTAAAGCTTCAGATTTTGTATACAAAATCTTTTCCGAGACTTTATTATATATTATAATAATCACAGAGGACAGTTGATAGCAAAGATAGCGTTCGCTTGATAAGACAGACCTGGTTTCAGAGGGGAAATAGTTAAGGCTAACCAAAAACAAGTAGGGTCATATCTATATATATTCTACATAAAGATCAGTAAATATAAAAAACATTTCCATTTACCAGATAAACAAATTTTAGAGCTATAAAATATGTAACCAGGTCGGCATTACTATACATTTTAGCTTTAAACTAAAACTGATTTTCAGAAAATCTATTATTAACACTTATCAATTCGAAATTAATTGAGAAATTTTGACTATTCGAAGAGCCTTAACCTGGGCTTAAAAAAGAATTTTTAAGCTGATGTTTTATGTTAAGTATTTACTAGTTGTTAGCGCACTTTTCTATTACTGAACAGCATGTAAGGTATCTTCTAGTCGAATACTTCCACTTATTATTATTGCTCATAGGACATCTGATAGTCGTATATTCTCAAATATTCTATCAAACTGGAAATCTTATTGTACCCTTATTTGAACCTATTTAACATCTAAACAATTCCCTCTATCTTCTCTCCTCCTCCAGTTGTCATTGATAATTATGATAAGGTCAAACGGCGCGCGCGCCCACAACTAAGTCGCACTGTATGCAGCAGTTGTGGGATGGGGCAGAGGCGTGTATATGGAAGTTGCTGGCTAGGGATGAGCAACAGTAATATATGTGGTTCACAGTGACAGCTATAACAGTGACAAATAGCAGCTACACTTTACAGTTACTTAGCTACTTTCAAATGACCTGAACTAAACACTAAATACATATCAAAAATAAATAAAAATAGCTAAAATACAATATTTTTGTTTTTAAAAATATTGCATATTTTATTTTTAATAATTATTAAATTAATAATTCAGGAGTAACTGATAAATACTTGTTATATGTAACGATTTATGGCAACTATCGCTCATCTCTAGAAGCAGCTGATCAACTGTTGATAGTTTACCATGAGCATTCCGCGATCTACGCTCAACGCGAGTGGTTGCTGTATTAATCGAGCGCTTTTCTATATTAGAAAGAGAAAGAGTACGTCCCTCTCTCCCTTCTACCTATCCGTACAACTACGAAATAAGCATTCAAAGACAATACAGCCGGAAAACATGTCGACATTTGAATTGAGAAATTTGGACGAATGCCTGGAAAAACATTTGCCAGCTAAGGAGCTACAAGAAGTCAGGCGCATACTCTATGGAGTTGAGAAAGAGTGAGTAGATATACCTAACTATATATATATATATATATGTATATGCTGCCTCTGATGCGATATAGATAGTATATCTATGTGCTAATCAAAACTTAAAACAGGCCACACTGCGAGCTGATAAGGCAACAAAATTGTATAGCGGAGATAAGTCTTAGCACATATTCAATTTGGGCAGCTAGTTAGTAAAATCTATAAGAAAACATATAGTATACATATATATAAATATAAATAAATTTAAATTTAATGCATACATATACGTATTTGTATATGTATATCAAGTATACGCAGCGTTAGAAATATTGAAAAATTAAGTATGCAATGATGAAGCTTGAATGCCCTTACGGAAAGGTTGGCATAAAAGAGATTATAAACACTAAGAAATGGAAAGAGGAAGAGAAAGGCAAAGGCAAAGAAAGTGAGAGAGAAATAAAAAGAAAGTAAAAGAGAAGAGAGAAAGAATGTTGTTCCAATCTATATAACCAAAAACAGATTCATTCATGCCTTAACTAAATGTCTGATAACTAATTGGGAGACTCTTCCATATAGGGTATATTAAAAATACCAGCGAGCACAACCAAAACAAAAACAAATACCAGCAAAAGTTGCGCGCATTGTTTACAAAGCAGTGAGAATGCAAACCCAGAGGTCTCTCTGTCAACCTGCCTTTCTCTCTCTCTCCCTCTCTCTCTCTCTCCATACACGCTAATTCACTCACTTCCTCTGCCATACTCTCTTCACTTTACAGCCGATCTCTCAACCGATCGAGAATCACTCCGTCTTTATTTTTTGGCCCCACACTCGGACGCTCCGACACTCTCTTTGTCGCTATGTCATATGTCGATTACGATTTCGTTCTCATATACTATGCCGCAATTCGCTCTCACACATTCCACTTTTTTTAATTTACACGTGCTGACAGTCTCTTTGGCATCATATCATTCTCTCCTCTCACTCTCACTCTCCCTCATTATCTCTTAAAATCTCACTCTATTTCGCTGTTTTGTTCTGTAAAGCTCTGTTCAACTCACGCACTCTCCCTTTCGCTCTTCAACTCTCTCAGTTGCCAACTCTAACTTCAACTCTCGCGCGTTCTTGCCAAAACCCTGCCAGTCTAACTCACTTTCTGTCCCACGTTCTTATCGCTCTTAGCCAATCTTTGGAACTGCCAGAGAGCGCTCGCCAGACCGCTTCGCAGAATGGCTTTGAGATCAAAGGCTTTAAATTTGAGGCACGCCCCGAGGAGCTGCGTAAGCCGCGGTTGGTTCGAATTGGTGCCATACAAAATAGCATTGCTTTGGTAACAACGGCACCTATTGAAGAGCAGCGCGAGGCCATTTGGAATAAAGTGAAGAGCATGATCAAAGCGGCGGCACAGGCTGGCTGCAACATCGTATGCACCCAGGAGGCGTGGAGTAAGTGCAGCCAATTCCAACTATAGACGACTCCTATTTATCTAACTCTCCTTCCATTAGCCATGCCCTTTGCCTTCTGCACACGTGAGAAGTTTCCCTGGTGCGAGTTTGCCGAGGAGGCGGAACGTGGGCCGACGACCAAAATGCTGTCAGAACTAGCAAAGGCCTACAACATGGTCATCATACACTCCATCTTGGAGCGAGATATGGAGCATGGGGAGACGATTTGGAATACGGCTGTCGTAATCTCGAATAGTGGTCGGTATATGGGCAAGCATCGTAAGAATCACATACCACGTGTGGGCGACTTCAATGAGTCCACCTACTACATCGAGGGCAATACGGGACATCCCGTTTTTGAGACGGAGTTCGGCAAGCTGGCGATCAATATTTGCTATGGCCGCCATCATCCACAGAATTGGATGATGTTCGGTTTGAACGGAGCAGAAATTGTGTTCAATCCGTCGGCTACAATTGGACGTCTCTCGGAACCCCTATGGAGCATAGAGGCAAGGAATGCAGCTATAGCGAACAGTTACTTTACAGTGGCTATCAATCGAGTCGGCACTGAGGAGTTCCCCAATGAATACACCTCAGGGGATGGTAAGGCAGCGCATAAGGATTTTGGCCCCTTCTATGGCTCAACATATGTGGCGGCACCAGATGGCTCCAGAACTCCCGTAAGCATACACCTTTAACTGGACTTGCAGTCATGCTAATTATGCTTAATTTTCCCACAGAGCTTATCGCGCTGTGAAGATGGTGTGCTAGTCACTGAGCTAGATCTGAATTTGTGCCGACAGGTTAAGGACTTCTGGGGCTTCCGCATGACCCAACGGCTTCCACTCTATGCTGAGTCATTCAGTAAAGCAGCGCAACTGGATTTCCAGCCACAAATTGTGCGGGAGAAGTAATAGAAATTTTATTGTATTACAAGACCTATTGGCAATGACCAAAATAATATATATATATATTAAATTTTGTACGCACTCTTAGAAGGAAACCTTTTCAAATTTTCTTTCGAGCTAAACGTGCCCTTATAAAATTTTGGTAGTGGCCAAATCTTTATAGCAGTAGCTGAGCGCCTTTTGGTAGCCGCCAGAGCGATCAAATAAAAAATTATAAATTCTCTTAATTTGAGGTCCAATTAAATGAATATCATTCATTTTCGTAGAAGGATATAATGCGTCCAGCCTCGCGTATTCCCGTCTCTACGGCACCGTGAACTGTCGAATAATGATTGGGGCTGGTTGCCTCGCCGGCGAAAAATAAAACCGGTCGCGTTACCACTGGCTTCATATGGGTAGCTCGCACGGAAACAGCCGTATCAGCCGAGAGAAGCGCGTCGTAGACTAGCACATTAACTGGCTGTGCGAGTTGTGCGGGTCCCGTTTCATACTCGGAGGCCAATAGGGAGGGATATGAGTAGCTGCCCAAATGCGCCGGATCAATGCTCCATTTGGTGGTAACCACATTGTTGGGATGCGACAACTTAAATTTGGGCAGAAAGCGATGTAGCATATCCATAATGCCTTGCACCAAAGCATCGTGGTCCATGCTCTCGATAACGTCCACGTGAAATCCGGATGCCCAGCCGAGCAATACGCGTGGCTGATGCTCGTATACATGAAAGCCATAGATGTCCTTTAGCCAATATTCCGATGGCAAATCTTGTCCTCTCCATAGGGCATTGAAGCCGCGCCAATTATCTGGCCAGAATTTCTCATCAAATTCAATAAATATTTTGCAAATGCTGGCAAATCCAATGAAATTGATCGCTGCACAGTTAGCTTCTGGCAAATTTGGCCGAAAGAGCATTGTGTTGCGCTTGAGCACGCCTAGAGAGAAGGTAATCACTACATGATCCGCGGCATATTTCCTTTTATCACAGCTCACCACCACAGAGCCATCTATGCGATCCCATTCAATTTGAATAACCTTTTGATTAAGATCAATGCAATCCTTAAGTATTCCATGCTCATTCATCTCGTCACCTTTGACGAGGATGCGCAAAAACTCCTTAAAACTGCAAAAAGGGATAGTTAATAAGAATATGCTTAGTTATTAGTGACCGACTGGCGGTTAGCCAGAAGATCACAAAACAAACGAAGGAAGAACGAACTGACAGATGAAGGGAGATGCAGACAGACGGACAACCTTGGCTTACTGCTTACCCCTTTTCACGCCAGTTCAAATGGTGGCAGCCTTTACATGGCTTAAAGGTCCAGTAGTCATAGGCTGACACATCCATCATACTGCCTTCTATTTTCTTGAAAGTAGTTATAAACTCTTTAGCTACATGCCTATCCAGATGGCGATGTCGCTTGTCCATCTCTCTGTAAAACATCTGTGAAACGTATTCGCCAAAGCTGGCCTCTGGATCTATTTGGTCGTCCTGCATCTTGTAATATATAGTTGATATCAAATTCAACATTTCCTCGACAACGCTCTTAGACAGTTCATCACCATTCGAGCGTATCCAATTAATATTCTTTAACGTATCATCAGATTTCTCCAATATGTTTAACTCTTTCACCATCTGATAGACCACATTGCCTTTTTGTCCATAGACCCACTGGGCACCCATATCGACATAATTGTCAGCAAATTTCAAGGTTTTAACACGCCCGCCAATCCGATCAGACATCTCTACAATTCGGACATTATTGTAACCATTAGTCTTCAGTTCTACCGCACAGGCAAGACCCGCCACACCGCCGCCCAAGATCAAAATTCTCGGCTCACATTTATATACCGAATTCGTAGGCCTGGTTTTATTGCGTGCAAGTTTTGCTTTTTGGTTGGACCAACACTGCGACAGTTCGAATTAGTTAATTAGCTTTTCTCCGGTTGTGCTGCAATCGCGATCAACTTACACTTCCCATATAAAAGGTAATACAATTCGTATTTATTATAAATGTCTGTTAAGAAAATGTCAAAAGTTGTCAGAAAAAAAATTTATAAAGATTGGAAACTAAATAAAAATTAAACAAGAGAACTATAGTCGGTGTGCCCGACTAGAAGATACCCTGTGCATTCTCAACTAGTCAGGTAGAGTCAGTTGTCTTGAACTGTCTAAAAATCAATCAATCATCAATCAGTCACTCAATCACAGAGTTATATGTATCACTAAGTAAACTTATAAATAAAAATCTGGCTCTGTGTAGCTGTTAATCAGACGTAAATATAAAATAAAACTACCTAATTAGGCAGACTTTGGCTTTATAGCCTAAATCAATCAGTCAATCAACACAAAAAGTTATAGCTTATAGGTTTAGTCATAGCTTTATATTTATGGTCAATAGCGCATAGTCAAACATTTAACAGCTCCTTACATGCTGATTGATATACATATATATATATCAATATACATATATATATATATATATATATATATATATATACATATATATATATATATATATCTTATAGTCTATTCAGGATGTATTTATTGTTTGGTTAAATTTAATTGATTGTTTTTACTTTTAAGCCATTGCACAGTTGCTTATAAAATAGGGAAACTTTTTGTGATTTTACAGCTGCGATGTGGCCATGGATCAATCATTGTCAATCAGCCAGGAAACGTCACTCGATTAGGCATGCACATAAAGCTGGCCGTCGCATAGGAGTTGCCTAGAGTGACATCAATATCAATCAGTCAATCGTCATCAATCAGCCAGGCAGAGTCAATCAAATGAAATATCTGACGATTGCTATAGCTGTGATTTGGCCGTCGCTTCCTTTAGGCCATAGAACTCCGCCAATCTCTCAGCTTCTCTCCAACCGGCTTCCACAGCTCCATGAACTGTGGAATAGTAATGCGCGCTGCTCGCCTCGCCGGCAAACTGGACAATGGGTCGATCGCAGCGAGTCTGTTGTGGCAGCCTTTTGTTTCTGCCCGGCGATTGAGGTGACATGGCAACCACTGTCAAAGGCTGCGCTAGATCCTGAGCACCGGTGCCCATACGTTCCGTATCCATGGAACGAAACGAGTAGGAGCCACGGAAGTTCGGATTTGTATACCACGCGGAGGTGCAAAAGCTGACCGGCTCCGGTATATGCCAATGCAGAAAGCGACGAAACAGATATAAACAGCCTGCAACCACTTCATTTCGATCCAGTGACTCCATGTGCCTGCCACTCGCATTGATAATCCAACCAGCCAGAACATGCGGCTGATAGCTGACTCTATAGAAGCCAAACACATCCTCCAGCCAGGCACGTGGCGTATTCCTTATATCAGCCAAATCCTCCTCCCGCCACAGCAATGTAAAGCCCGTCCAATCCTCGGGCCAAAAAGCTTCCGGAAATTCCACAAAGATTTTGTTAACCGTGCCAAAGGCCAAGCCTTGGATGGCTCTCTGCTTAGCCACTGGTAGCTGTGGCTCAAACATCTGCAGATGTTGCTCCTTGAGCACACCCAAGGATACGGTCACAATCACATGATCCGCCAAACAGCATTCACCATTGCTCAACTGCAGCTCCACGCGAGAATCGTTCCGATTCCAAAGGATCTTTTTAACACTACGATTGAATAGCACGCGTTGTTCTAGTACACCCAGATCTGTGGACGTTTCTAGCTCTCGACTGCGCGTGAGCAGACGCAGCAGCTCCACAAATCCTTTATCCTTCCAATTGAGCAATATATCGCCTTCGCATTCCCAATAGTCCAAATAGCCGCGACCAGATACTTCCTCTAGATTATCAGATGCCTCCACAGAGTTTTCGAATTTTTGATAGTTATCAAAGAACTCGTCAGCTAAGACTTGATCTATGTCGGAATTCTCGGGTCGGCGTAGCATTTCGTAAAATTTATTGGTCAGGTAGCTGCCCAGGGAGCCGCTGCAGTGCTGCAGCTCCAGTTGACGTGTGACCAGAGAATCACCCACAATTGCTTTCAGCCTGTTGGCCACATTATCGGGTAATACTTCTCGATTGCTGCGCACACATTGATAGTTCTCGTACACCGGACCGGTGGTCTCCAGTAAGTCCTTCTGGCTGGCCAGCTGATGTACGATATTGTCCTGTTCACCATGACACCACTGAGCTCCAAGATCAATCACATTCTCGCCGAAAGGTATTGTGTGTATGCGACCGCCTAAGCGGGACTCGGCTTCCACGACGAGAACATTCTGAAAGCCATAATCCAGGAGCTTCGTAGCACAAGCAACGCCCGATGCCCCAGCGCCGATGACAACGATCTTTAGATCCCGATGCGATTTACTCATAGCTTCCTATTTATATATATATATATATGTGTTTGTGTGCGAATCAAGCAATCAAGATCTGCAAAGAAAACGAATTTAAGTGTTGGAAAACTATGGACTCAACTAAGAGGGAAAGAGGAAGGGGTATCAGCGCAAGCAGAGTGAAATCTTATGAATTGATTCAATTAAATGGAATGAGATCAGAATATGAGCTACAACTAATGAAATAACATTGGCATAGGCAGTGTAAAATTGGTAAAACGCACTTTATATACCCTGTAAAAACATTGTAAATTATATATTTTATATATTTAAATACAATTCAAAGCCTAGGTAAAGCTATAGAATCAAGTAGTCGCAGTTGGCATGCCCTGTAAAAATGTCGGAAATAAGAATATATAATATAATAGATTTTCAAGCATAGCTAAAGTTAAAAACCCTAATTAAAATGTATTTACAAATCAAACATAATTTTTAACATAATTGGATCAATATATATATATATATATTTTTATATATAATTATACCCATATTTATTCTGCTAAAGTGTGTCATAAATGCATATTATAGTGCAGAATAAACCAGCTAACCATTAAACAAACCTAAAGGAACGCTTATTATTATTAAGAGGAAAGCTTTTGGACTTTTGGACATTTATATAAAGATACCAACTATAAACATCCAAATTATCTAGAAAAAAACTCATGGAAACTAACACTTCTAAATTGATTAAAAATATATTAAGTTAAGTAAAAATATACTAAACCATTTTTCGGAATTCCCAGCAAAAAAAACTGCAATAATCTAAAGCTTCTATTCTGTAAAACGCATTATACCCTGCGCATTCATTTGAAATGAAACGCCGGCTATACCGTAATGTATATGCATATGTTTTTGCTATTTGTGTTTCTGTTTTGCAGCGAGCGTGCGTTGTAGTGCAGACACGTGCGCCAACAAATGCCGTTAAAAGGGAATTCCGTCTACCTATTAGCTTATGCAGTTGCTTTTGCAATGGTATTAGTTGCTTAAGAAAATACAAAGAGCGTAAACAAAAACAAGCTGCAGATGGCGCGACGGCAAACTGTATTTGAAAACAGCTGCAAGAACTTATTTGAAACGGTAACTGATAAGAGGAAACGCGCGTAACATGCTCTGATAAGAGTCAAAGAGTGCGACTGAGAGAGCATGCAGTGACATACAAAAACATAAGCACACAGAGTTCAGCATGGATTTATAAATAGAACGAGAAATTGTCATGCATGTGTGTGTGGATGTACGGTACATTAGAAACGCTTTAGCTTTGCATCTTGTTTGACCAGCCTGGACCAAGCAGCCAGTTTTCTAGTTAGCAACCCCCTCGCAACACCAATACCAATAGGCATTTATACAATGCCAACACACTCACACGCAGACACAGTAGCACGCGCTGCTTTGACTGCTGCTGCTAGAAAGAGAGCGCAGCATTGATTTTATATGAATGCAATATAGATTTGACAAAATGACCAAAAACTTTTCAAGGTTCAAGAGCAATGCATAAAATTATAACAAAAACAGACACACTGCACACGTTCACAAACACATATACATACATATATCGGCATAAGTATGTATGTTTATGTAGTCACATAAAAAGCTCCACTATCTGTCGCGTGTCTCACTCACCAAAATAATTTTTTTTATTATTTTCTTTTATTTGTTATTAACTGTAATTTATAAATCCAACTTTTATAATATTATATATATTTAAATATTTTAAAAATTCACTGCACATAAAAATTAATAATTATTTAATGGACTATGCGCTCTGTTACTGAGTCAAGCGCACAAACAAAACTGAAAATCATATGGAAACGTGCTGCTCCACAATGCTTATGCTGCGCCAGTGGCGTGGCAACAGCTCCAACCAGGCAGACACATTGCCTAGGCAAAGTTTCAGCCAGGAAACTTTCTCTGCTACGCCACTGTGTTTGCTCTGCACATGCTGCGCGAGAGAGAGCTTTCATCGCTATGAAAGCTCGTCTAGCAAAAGCGCGCCAATGCAAAGACCAGCTGACCGGCGTTTGGAATGGAATTATGAATGAGCACTGTTGCGCTGTGGTTTAGATGGAGGAGAGCGTTAGGTGTGAAAATAGTTGTATAGATAGTGTATAAGACTTGTCATTAAGTATACGTAGCAAACTTAGCTTATGTAGTCTAATTAACATAATTGAGTGTATTATTATTATTAGTAGAATATAAACTATGTTTGCCACGTATAAATTATGTCTTATACATTATTATAAAATACAAATATTATTATAATACAAAGCTTGTAAATAATAGTAAATAATGTGTTTTATAACTTATAAAACTGTGCTACTTTTAAGAATAAGCAGTATGTATACTCTTATATCATAGCTGTTAGCTAAATACAAATTGTAGCATAGTTTCTTAAGTTGTATGTGTGACTTATACTTATACTTATACGTTTATAAATGATGTCGGTTCTACCACAGCTTATCACTAAATACTATTTCCTTAAATATGCAATCCTGTTTTGCAATGCTGACCATAGACTTCTTTGACTTCATCGCATCCTGAACCTTCTCTCGCACTTCTGCGGCCTTTACATCGCTGCGTATGTAGAAGATACGCACCAAATGATCCTCAGTTAAAGAAGGATAACTGCCCAGCAGCGTATGTAAATCCAATGCGAGCAGCTCAATGTCCGCCACAATGAGAGACGATAGAGTTGTTATTAAATCCAAGGGGGAATCACTTAGCGAAATCTTTGGTGCAATCTTCTCGAAGAACTGTTTTATGCGCTTCGCTTCCAAATTGATTTTTCTTGTTATTGCATCGCATTCGCTACGAGTCTTCGAAAGTCTCTTCGATAGAAGAGCTCTTATATAGCGCTTCGCAAGCAACTTCTGCGCCTCATTGATCACCATCTCAAAATTAGCGGGCAGCAAATGATTGTAGTCCTGAAAGTAATCATCGAGCGTGACACAAATGGTGTCCACAGCAATGCTGCTGCCGAGCCACTTAATCGTAAATAGATCATTGAAATGACATTCCATATCGAGAAAGGCCTCCTCCAGCAAATAGTTCGCTGCATGTGCGCGTATCCTTTGAAATGTTGCTAATAGCTTCTCAAAATCTTCGTAATGTTCCGTCCTCGATTTAGGCCAAAAGAGATGCTTCATTTGCTGTGCCATTTCCACAACGTTCTGACTATTATTAACAATTGTTATGATATAGTGGGTAAAGTATTTGATTTGATCTCGATTCCGAAAATGATGTTCCTTCAATTCAATGACATTCTTGAGATAAGTTTGTCCGAACAATTCCACCTGTTGTATGCTGAGCACTAATGCTTTAAATGTCAGCTCCTGATGTATGGTGTTTGTCACCTGCAAATGCTGATCGATCATCTCGAATATGATTACCGGGCCAGCACTATTGTAATAATGATCTCGCTGATCGGGCAACTGTTCAGAATACCATTCCTGTTTCTCCGAATCAACGGTCTTTTTCATCCAATCCTGATAATTACGTTCCATATTCTGCAAATACTCATCCTCTAGCGATTTTAAGTGATGCGGATGCAGAAGTGGACGCGACAGCTTTAGTACATCCACATTCAGGTCTGCATGCGACATTAGATCAGCGCCTGGATAAGTGTGCATAACCCAGGCTAACATGGAGACATATTCATTGCCTTGAAGGCCCGATTTCACAATGTTATCCAGCTGCAAAAATTATAATTATAAAAGTATAATTATAATACAATATCACACGCAGAGAAAAACAATTAATCATACGACTCACATAGCTAGATAATCCTTCGTGGTAGAACTTTACATATTCATTGAATATATCGTAGTGAGGTGGAAAGCAGGGGACGCACAACGATTTAACTACACGCAAATCTTCAAGAATGATTTGTCGCAATATCTCCAGATCGCGGACTAGCCACAACTTATTATCTGAGCGTTCCTCCAGCTTGGAGCCTTCAATGCGCGTGATCACAGCTGCTTGGAGGACATCCATGATCATGGAACGCCATGCCTTAGGTCTGCCTGGTGGCAAGAAATTCGTGACTTTTTGCTGTTGCAGCGCAAATTGATCATTTTTCTCTTCGCGCTCGATGATTCGCAATGCTGTCACAATTACTGTCGGCTTCTTTCGGACAGTATTTAACGTCCGACTGATGATCAGGCGTAGCTTCTTTTCCAGTGCCTGAGACACTTGATCGACCTTTTCGAAGTGACGCTTGAGCGTAATCTTATCGGAGGCATGTTGCTTGGGCTGTTTATGCAGCTCGTAGAGTAGATCATCACGCGAATTCTCCAAATCGGCCAGACACTGATGCGCGCTCAACAGTTTGTCTTCGTCTATGAGTGCCATGGTCTTTTGCACACTTGCATCCACATTAAAGATGTGCTTCAGATTCTCCATAGCCGTTGCATATTGCGAATGTTTTGTATTCTCCTCGCGAACCACTTCCAAGGCGTCATAGATCTCTGGCACGCCTTTGAGCAGTTGTTCCACGTCCACCATACGACGACGCACCTCACGCACATCCTGCATACACGTCTCGAGCTGCTTCAGACCCACTCGCACGCCTTCCAATTGATTTTGCATACCCGTTTTTAACAACGCCTCCACAGATGCTTTTTTTCGTGCTATGCGATGACGGTATTGTTCAACTTTCTCCAACTGTCCAGGCCGTTGCAGCATATTTTGTATATCTTTAAGTGCTGCCTGGCGTGCTTCTTCTTCCAATTGTTGCAAATCCATTGTTTAATATCTCTTTTATAAATTTAAATAAAATTTCAATTACAACTCATTTCTACCGAAGAAGTAAAATAACTAAGTCACCGATAACATAACAGCTGGTTTTGCGGATGCGTCTATCGATAGCTGCTTTTACTGATCAACACTGGCGGGAACAGCTGATTTCCATTTTAAAAGACCGCCACAATTGTATGAGAAATAATTATGAAATAACACTGCCTGGCGCTGTTGCTCTTCCATTAGTTGCAAATTCATGTTACATATAACTCTGTAATGGATTGTAACTTTAAAGCAGCGACACAGCCGTTCTGCTAAGTTGAATATTGACATTGTAATCGATAGTTGATGGGCAACTCTGAATTAAAGAACCTTATTTTGATTTTGAAATCCGGTAGCAAATTAAGAATTATAATTTAAAAACAATGTTGACTTTATCAAAAGTTTTTGGTGAACAGAACGAGCTAATTCCATTTATAGACGACTATCAAAACGAACTGGAAACTGTCAGACTCTTGCACACTCTGCCTGCAGCCAATCAGAAACGTTTCAATGAATTAACCAACGAATTTCTCGACACTTTAGAAGATCCACACGATTTGAAAGCCTGTGCGGAACGTTCGCGTTCTAGCCGTGAGCATGGCAATGCAGTGTACACAAACAGATCCAAGACGAATGCCACCGATCGAAAAGAGTCCTTGCTTCTCGCTTGTCGGTTGTACACAGAGGCCATACTGCAGGCAGAGAATGTCCACGAGGAGCTCTGTTTGGGTTATGCGAATCGTGGCATGGCTTTACAGGATTTTGGCTTATACAAGGAATCCTACGAAGATTGCGAGTGTGCACTTGAGTATGGCTATCCCCAGAAGCTGCAGCATAAGCTTATAATGCGGCAAGCCCATTGTGCCTGGAAACTGGGCAATGTAAAGAAACTGGCCGAGCTCATAGCGTGCTTGGAGCAACATCAGCTAAATTCGGGCTATGCCGAACAATTGGCGCAGTTGCAGCAACAGCTGACACTACTAGAAGAGCAGCAAGCAAATGACCAGTCAGAGGATCAGATAGAAATCCCGTCAAAACTTCAAGAAGTGAATCACAAAATGTGAGTAAATAATGTATATATTAACTATGAATAGATTGATATAGATGTCTTTTAGCTCAACCAGTCCCGGCTCTAAGGGACGTCACATGGTGGCCACGCAACTCATCAAACCGGGTGATTTCATATTCAAAGAGCAAACTGCTTGCTTTGTGCCTCTCGAGCCGGGCTTAATTTGTCAGCAATGCGCTGCAAGTGTCCTCTATGCGCCTATTCCCTGTACCCAATGCCATCAGCGAGTGGTTTACTGCTCCCGCCACTGTCGTCAACTACATGGGCGGATTCATAGCTATGAATGTGCTGGTTATAGGAAAAATCTATTTACCTTGTTGGGCGTCTCACATTTAGCTGTGCGAATGGTGCTTTGCTACATGCAACAATGGCTGACAGATCTGGGCAACGGCTCTAACGCTGAAGAGCTTTGGCAGCTGCTAATGGACAAGGCAAAACAAAGTTACAATTGGCCAACTGCTCCGCAGCATTTGCTCAGCTTATGCATGATCAGCCATCTGGATAAAGCAGATTCAGCGGAGCTCGTATACTACGCACTCTCCGCAAATCTCTTGCAAGTTTATCTATACAAATGCACCGATTTCTATGAGCAGCTCAGAATCGAGAGTAGACATTCAGCCGTTGCTCGAGAGGAATGGGACTTGTTAATAGCTGCCTTAATTTTACGCTCTGCCAGCCAGCTGATCTGCAATGGCCATGTCGTCGTCACCGTTGTGCTTCGCTCACAGTTCCATACGATGGAACCAAAGCTCTGGCGAGAACCCTTCCATTTATATTTAGGCTGTATGCATAAATTTGATAGCGTTGCACTGATATCGGCGATCAATTTACCATATTTAGCTCTTTGTAATCATGCTTGCGCCTCGTCGATTCAGCTCCAGTTTGATGGTCGTGTGGTAAACTGCCTTGCAGCCACAGAAATTAAGGCAGATGAAGAGATCTTCAATTGCTATACCTTGGACTATAGAAACTCCAGTTGCTCTATGCGTAAGCAGCACCTTCAGAAAACATATAAATTTGAATGTAAATGCTCGAAATGCAGTTGTAGCAAATCGGATGAGGATTTTGTGAGTTGAAATTCGATTTAGTTGCAAAGCTCAATTAATATCTTTACTCTGTTATTTAGCTGTCCTTTAATCGCTATCGCTGCGAGTTCTGTGCTAAAATCTTTGTGCCTGGCCAGCCAGAAGAATTCAAATGGTGGGAGTCGGAGTCGGAACTGGCGCCACAGTCGACCATTAACTGCTCCAAGTGCCAGGCGAAACAGTCGTTTACCTGGTTTGAGCTATTTCGGGATATACTCGCACTTTGTTATGAACAGCAACAGCGTCGCAAGGCGTATAAAGCATTCGCAGAGCTCGACACTTGGCTGCTGGATTATCATAACTTAAAAACACAATTGGCCCAGCAGCTAATCGCTGGCTGCCTAACAGCCAAGGCAGGTGAGTCAGGCAAGGCACATGATTCAAGTCAGAGATAGAGAGAGCAATGGAAATTCACTGAGTACAAGTGCTTTCAAGATACAAGATATAAAAATATTTGAGTTATTGGATAAGTTATGGTAGAGTAAGAATTCATGTTGACATGTATTGGCTGGCACTAAGAGCAAGAGGGAAGGCCCTTTAGATGTACTAGACTATTTTATGAATCCCTTTTAAGACCAAGGCTTAGTGGGCTTATCTCCTTCAAGTATCCTGTCTGCCTCTTATCGCTTTACCTGAAGTTTGGCTGCCTTATATGATTTTTACTGTAAAGCGCCATATCTCACCTCGTCTACCTTCCCATAGATGGCGCCACATGGGATGACATTGACTACACACAATTGTCACGCATCTTGGATTACCTGCTGGCGAGCGTGGAAGCACAACATGGTGCTAACTCCATGACGTACATTAGCAATTTAACCTATCTAATGGACTTAACGGCATTTGGTAAATACAAATGCAGCAGCGAGCAGCTAAAAGCAATGCGAGCTGCTTTCAATTATTTGCCTCCAGATACGAAGCAGATTTTTGTCAACTATTACAACGATTTTATTGAGCAGCGCTATGCAGCTAATGGTAAAGCTAATGCTAACGCTAATGCTTAACAACAATAATAAATTCTCTAAGAACAACAACAATAACACTGGCACTTTTGTTTCATTCTAACTTAAACTACAAAGAGAGAAATCGAGACAGAGAGGGACGACGTGCTATACCCTGTGTTTTATATGAAATGTGAGGCATATTCGTGTGGCATGACGCCGCGTCGTGGATAAAATGTGTGCGATGTCGAAAACTTTAGCAAATTCGTGATGTCGCTCGTATAAATGTCCGCAAACCGAAATAGCCGCCGTGAGAAATACGTCGGATTGTGATACGTCCGAAATACGCTTCCGAATTGTTCGTTGAAAACATTTTTCGTTTTATTCCTACAACAGAGAAACAAATATTTAAAGATAAATACAGTAACAAGAAAAAAAATATATATATAGAAAATAAAATATTAAAACATATTAAGAAATATATCTAAATAGATCGATATAGACTAATCTAGCTATTCGTAGCAGATCCAATGAGCCAAAACTAAAAAGATTCCTATAACAAATCTATATCGATCTAATTTGGAATGAAATCGATTCTGATCGATATCAAACTTTATATGAAATATGAGAGAATGGTTTAGAGTCGAACTAGAGCATATGAATATATATATGTATGTATGAATATATATATGTATGTATGAATATATATATATATAGAAAGTAAACCAACCGCAATTGATCCCGCTCGTTCATCCAATCTTGCAGACACACCTGCGCCGCCTCGCTGTCGTCGTCCTGTGTATCCTCAATTAGCTGCGTCAACATTTGCAGCCAGTTGGCGCTCATCTTAAAGTCCACTCGATTCAATGTCTTTATCTCATGCTTTAAAAGAAGTTTATATAATACAGTTATACAATATTTATATATACATAGGTAATACACACGGCTAGCTCGCTGATGATTGCACCTGTGCGCCAGCTGTGCTTCAAGGTAACATCTGCCAGATCGCTGTACGGATGATCGCCAAAATAGAGCACAGAATGACCACGCCAGCCCTTCAGCTCCTGCAGCTGCCGAACAGAGCCCTGTTGAGTTGATAATGTAAGTACAGTAAAGTTTAGTAAGAAGCTTACAAATACAGATACTTAAATTTCTATATACGTAAAAATTTAACTATTTTATAAATTTACTTCATAACGAGTTCTCACGGTATTACACAGCAAGTCTCGTTAAGATCTTCAACAGGTGTATTTACAATCTTATAAGAATTTCAACGACTCTACTAAGTGTATACGCACGTCTAATAAGACGCTTAGAAGCTGCGACATTTCCTGTTATGCAAATGTCTAGTTGGCACTTTGCACGTGTGCAAATGTACTTTTCTAATAGGAATTTACACTAGCATTTACTATGCAAATTTGCATTTCCTATAAGAATAACAAACAGCTGCAGTTTGCGTTTGCTCAACTGGCTCTTACGATGTCGCCTATTTATATACCTCATAATAGATTTTGCCCTTTTCCAGCTTAAATACACGATCCCATAGATGTGATCGCGTTTTCTCATCGTACAGCCTTATTGGCCGAGATTCGTCTGTAAAGAATTTTGGTTTGCGTGCCTGAACGATGACAACATCAAAGAAATCTCTCCAATTTTCGCCCACCAAATAGGACATGCCACAGTTGCTATAAGAGAAGAGTGGACAGGGCTATTGAAAGGCTTATTTACAGACAGTTAAAACTTGGCTTACACAAAAGAAAATGGACTATTCGTAACCAGAAAGAGATTCTTGCCCGCCTTTTGAAGCTTTTCAAAATATTTTGGCAGCCTTGCATTGCGTTCGATGTACTTTTCCGTATTCTTCATGACCGTAGAGTGCATAATGGGATGGCATGAGCCCATGGCCGTTCTTGTATCATGAAATACAATTTCTGGATTATAATCTATTCGATTCCGTTCGAAATATTCGATAACATTGCAGAGCAAACACATTTCGGGCACTGAAAACAGATCCGCCAATTGCACCATTTTCGAATTGGTATTGTGCTAAAATGGAATTCGAAATTAAATATAATATACAATTTTGATTATTTTCAGATTATTACTCTATAGCTATTATTGGGTCCCTCGACATAAGCAATTGGCAGCAATCGATTGTGATAGAGCTTGAGCACTTCGTCTGCTTCCACTTTGGTGCGTCCACGATAGACGGAACCCAATTGGAGTTGTAGGAAGGAATCCAATTTGACCAGCAGGCCCTTTTCCACATCATAGTGCAAGCCGCGTACAGCAAAATTTGGCTCATATTCCAAATCCAAAATATCTTCCGGATAGCGAAAACGTTTAACCAGCATTTCACGTGCCAAATTGTACAGTAAATCCTCCAGCAACGGCTTGTAGCAAGCCAATGTATAATCATAATCGAAGCCATAAACCTGCACCTCACTAAGGTCCAATTCATTGCAAGCAAAAACTGCATCTGGATGCACATCTATGGGCAACTTTTTAGCTAAAAAATGAAACAGAAGTTATAATATGCTCATACATACATATACATGGAGAATATAAGAGTGAGACTGTGTATAAGAGTGCCTACTTATTATAAGGCTTACATTGAAATTTCTTTTTTGTTGCTTCGTAGAGCTCTTGGAAATCACTCACAGTTTTTCGTGGATTAATTAGAGCGTGCGACGTAACGGCTGCTGCTGCTTCTGCTTCAGTTCCCGCATTTTGACTGCTGCTCAAATAACGTGAATGCGTTACCTTTAACCTACTGCACACATTTTGTTTAAGAAATGCATTAATAATTTTTTTACGCGCTGCACTCATTTAACTGTAATTGCTCTTGTTATAACTGTTAAATGTGCTTCAAGTAGTTTTGTTACATGCACACGCAACTCAACTCATTACACCCTAATACACGTGCAGACTGCATGATGATCAATTGATGCACCATATTTCAATGTATACACCCACTCTACAGTGCTTCAATTACTTAATTCAATTAAATACAAAACTCTTTTGCATAAAAGCTAAGGCTTCACATTTAATTAGTTTAGTTAATTGATATTTAATTAGCAGCATGCAACAGCTGTTTGAACATGTTGAACGCTACACAGCACTGACACACATCGTGCATGTATTCATATCGATAGCAACAGTGCAGCGATGTTTCCTGTACATCACTAAAATTGTGAAACAGACACGAACAAAAAGTTAAAACGATCGAATAGCGATTAACTTAATCCAAATTAAACGTAAATAAAATATAAACTAATACACTATTAAACAAACTTGGCCTATTCTACAAGAAATTCGCAGTAATTTTTGTTAGGAAAGAAAACATAAACAGTGCATTGCACGTATAAATCAAATCCAAGTAAATTTTTTGGTGCTATTGCCTGTGTGTGCGTACGTACGTTTGTCAGTGTGTCTGTGTCGGTGTGTACGTGCGATTCATTCATTTCCAATTACGTGTGTGCTGGCAAAATTTTGGACGGTCTTTTATTTTAACCAAGTACAAGCAACAGTTCGCCCAATGACTTGTACAATTTCATTGTTGTTTTAATAGTCAAAGTAGACCCGAGAAATGTAGAGCTGCTGCTGGCCCCTACAAAGGGGGGCCTCAGCCAAATGCCATGAAATAGCACAAACTAAAAAACAATTATAAAAGACAAAATATACTAAATATATATATATAATATATATATTGATATTTGCGCCGCAATATTGAAACGACAAAAAAGAAACGCTGCGCCGTTTACGTTTACGTTTAAAGAAGAAGCAACAAATACGTCAAGCACCAATACGAAGACAGTTTCCAAGTATTGGTAAATACGTATTATACGTATAAAAAAGTATTTCCGACAATATTTTCGGCGTTATCAACACCAACACCACCCACCACAAGGCACAGTCGTCCGAAACACAGCGGAACGCAGAGCAGAGCCCAAACAAAAACAACGATTATAAGAAAATAAATTCGAAAAACACAAAAGCTCACCGAACACAACCCACAAATTTGATACGTAGAATTATGAACGTAGAGAACCAATTGACGCCGCTAAAGCAGATTCGTAATTTGGTCAAACACGTGAATAAACGAAATTTTAATGAGAGCAGCGAACAAATAAAGCAGGTACGTTTCACATTTAACCTTGTTTTTAAAATACATAACCAAATAATTGTAACAACAACAATAGCAACATGAGCAATAGCAATAGCAATAAAAATACAATTAGTGTTGGCAAATTTTGCACATATCGGCTGTGAGTCAAATACAGAGACAGCGCTGCCAACTTAATCGCATAATGGCTATATTGCCATTTCGCTCACACATGCATTTTCGCCGACGCCATTACAGTTTCTGTAAAAGCAGAAAATTTCTCTGCGCGAGTTTCTTGTAAAAAACTTACCTTGCTCGCTTCAAGATGCAAGTTATTTGGAATGTGTAAAACTAGCATTATTACAAACTAATAACCATGCACGCCGCCAATTCGTGCAGCTTAGTGAAATAACTAGTGAAATTGTGCAAAAAATAACTGAATAAAAGAGAGCGTACAACGTTTTCTACCAGCTGCGCTACTGCCAGCCCTTGAAATTCAGTGTACCAACATTCACTGTCTACCATTACTTGAGTATTATATACAAAAATCCATCAATAAGACTTGATTTGGGTAAGGCATATGTTTAATATTACTTTCTTTTTATGCGTATATATATAAAAAAAAGTTCGTTTGGCTACCAATACCAATACACGAACAAATATCCCTCTTGCTTTCTTGCTCACCCTTTTGCGATGAATTTGTATATGTGTGCAGGCCTATGCGTGTATAGGCCTAAAAGTTGCGTTGAGTAGTACTTTGTATGTCATTTTTTTCGCTTTGCATTTTTTTTTTTTTTTTTGTTGTGGAGCAGCTGCGCGGCTACAGCTGTTGTCTCGCTTCTGCGTACACTCGATTAAGTTTCACATTTGAGTTTTTGTTTGTGCCGTTTTTTTTTTATATATTTGATGATCGTTGTGGAGCTAGCTACGCTTCACATTTCTCTTTGTGACTTGTCAAAATTTCAAAGTGTGCAATGAAAATCGAAGAAAAAGAAGATAATTATAAATAGTTGCATCAATTATTATTCAGTTAATTGTGTGACCGCTTTTGATGAATTGCTCATGTGTTATCGATCTCTAACTTCTGCTGCCCGGGCACGGCAACATGCTCAGGTAAACGAGAGTTAAACGACACCAAATTAATCTCCCTCAATCTCTTTTCTTTTCGTTCTATGGTCTCATCTCCGTTTCGCTTGCAGTTTATCCAAGATTACGGCCTCGAAGCGGATCGTAGCTGTCTGCGATATCTGTTCACGGTACTTAACTTGAACGATCCGTCACCGAACGTTACCGCACAGCTGCAGGCGAAGCTCTTGGGCGCCCATTTGCAGCGGCAACTGCAGTGCTCATCGTTTGTCACAAATATATGCTTTGCCTTTGATCAGCATTTTGCCAAACAAAAGGTGCGTAAACAAAACTCAAGCAAAATCCAAGAGGCAGCTGCTCATCTATCATGTGTTTCTTTTTATAACAGAGTCTGAAGCCATTTGCACTTGCTGAGTTGGTTGGTCAGGTTGCCAAGCTAACTGGCATTAACAAACTCTGCGAGTGCATTTTCGCATTAGCGGTAACCCACAGCTCGCACCCGGAACTTAGGCAGAGCGCACGAGAGAACTTGCGTAGCTCTTTGCCTGATCTACTTGATTCGTATTTGGGTCATAATTCGGCCACTGCAGCTGCAGCTAGTGGTCTTCACGAAATATCGTTTGATTTGTTACAATATTTGTTGTGCTGTTTGCGAGAGTACGTGACACCACAACTGGAGTCACAGTTTTTGAGGAAGCTACGGGAGGAGTTTCCACGTGAGGCGGTGCCATTGGTTTTAGCGCCACTTTTGTATCGCAACGCAACAACGACGACGACGACGACGACGGCCGCCGCCAAATCAAACGACGACGACGACGAAACTGATGCAGAGGAGGAAACGACGAACACGAACACGACGAACACCAGCAGCTGGAGCAGCTCAAATGCAGATAATCTGAATGAAGTTGGCATTGAGGATATCTATGACCATTTATCCGAGATAATTTACACAAATCAGGTACAGTTCACTCTATTGTAAATACCTCTAAGAATTACCTTTTATAATTATTTCGTGTGTCTCATTGCAGGGCAAAAATAATATTATGGACACATCTTGGATTAATTTAATCCTTGAAATCGGTTATGAATTTACATCGAGCGTTGAAGATTGCAGAAACCATTTGTGTTGCGGCTGTGGATCACGAGAACTACAGCCCAAAGATGTTGCCAAAATTGTTGGCCTCATGTGCAGACGACACTTGTCGCTGCTTGATTGTAATGTAAATTTGCCAACGCCAGCAAATTTCTGGCCTGGCCAACAGCAGGGAGCTGGCAGCAGCAGCTCTAATGCTTCACAATCAGCACAACAGCAAAATTCTACCAGTAACAACAACAACAATGATGGCAGCGGCGAGTCGGGTAGCGCGACCAGCGAGAAGAAGGATAAAAAGGAGACAACAGATGCAACACAGACATGGAAGCCAGATGTATTTGTGCAAGCGCTCAAAGAGTTGGTGCCACAGCTTAACTGGAAGGATGTTTGCATGGGTAGGTGTCAGCGTAAAATAAACAAATGTAGATTGTAATTAAGTCACACACAAGACACAAGATATCTGCCTTATGAATGTAGAATGTATATAGATTCTACTTATTAGCTTAATTACATGTTCGGTCGGTATATTCCAATTATAGTTAACTTCTAGTTACCTTAGAGTGTAGGCTTAATTTATGTACAGGGTATCTCCCAATCGACATTCTTGTTAATTTTATTGATTTTAACATCAGATTCTTTCAATCGAACTGACATTCTGTATATCTTTATTCTTGTTTATTTATATAATAGCAGGTACGTCATAGATTTGTTTACAGAGTATATACCACTGTAAATAACTCAGTTTTCTCCTCAAAAAAGTTCTTAAACCTTAGTCATTGCTTTGTTTTCTGTCATAATTAATCAGTTAATATTAATTTGTATATTTGGGGTGACGGAGTTTTATTTAAAATAGAATAAGTTTCGACATTTTTTTTTCGTATTTTCCAGAACTGAACCATCAATCGATTTAAAAAATTATCGACACAAATTGTGGACGAAGTGATATAGACACATAAAAATATTAAATACATATAAATAATATACATAAAAATATCAAAATTATCAATTTACATCTTGCAGAGCTCGATCATCCAGAGTTTGTGCTAAAGGATCGCATTGGATTGGATTTGCTGTTGACCATTTTGAGATTGTCCACGCAATCGAATCAGTTTCCGCAACCGGAATGCATTTATCGTCATTGGTCTAACACAGAGGGTCAATTGTCGTTGATAACGACCATGCTACAGAATCCAGATCTATTCTCATTTGCCGATTACGTTTTTAGTCAGCCGGCATTGGATGTACTGAAGACGCCACCCGATGCTGAGAATAAGGAGATAGCTGCATGGAAATCATTGCATTTGGTTGAGGTGTTACTATCGATTGCGGACAAGGGCTATTATAGTCAGGTGCATGAACTTTTCAAGTTCCCAGCGCAAAATTGTCCGGACGTGTTATTCTTAGCTCTGCTGCACATAAATCCGCCTTTAACACCATTGCGTCAGGATCTATTTAATCAGTTAATACCCACATTTCTGGGCAATCATCCCAATTCGAATGTTATATTGGCTAGCGCCTGGAGTTCAACCAATTTTCAATTGCGGCCCAGTATCATGAACGCAATGTCTGAATGGTATTTGCGTGGCAGCGAGTTCGACCAGGTGAAGTTGTCGCGGATACTCGATTTGGCACAGGATCTAAAGGCACTATCCTCGCTGCTCAATGCGCGCTCGTTTCTGTTTATCATCGATTTGGCCTGTTTGGCATCGAGGCGCGAGTACTTGAAGCTCGAGAAATGGTTGAGTGATAAGATACGCGATCATGGTGAACCCTTTATGCAGGCCATGATAAAGGTGCTGC